TTTTTCCAAACTTAATATAAGTAAGAACCTTAATTTTATGGTGAATGCGGCTTTCACACACGGTTATATAAAATTGTGGGTTTTTATAGGCTATTTATTTATTGGAGTTGAGTTTTGCTTTCATGACAAGAAGTGAGAAATTAGGCCACTCATGTGCTACAATCTCTACAAATATATGTTTGTTTTTACATATAACCATTAATTATGAACTTATTTAATTTGTTTATATTTTATGCCCTAATTTGCATCTAATGTTAGGAATTGGTGGAACAACTTGGATGACAGTGAGAAGTTTAACAAATTTGAAGCTGAGTATTCTCAACTATTGATGAAAAAGTACTTCTCTGAAGAGAATATATTTGGAGGTAAAGTTTTATACTCTTAGCATATGTAAGTTTAATTTGTCACAAAATTTATATTAAGGGATATTTTTGTCATTATAACACAACTATGCAATAATGATAGAATTCAGGGGGTTCATGTCAAAAAAAAAAATGCAAGGTGGTTTTGTGCTAAAAATAAAAAGTAGGGGGGTTTATGCAATTTGCCTTATCTTTTATTAGACCTTTACTTGGTAATCAATTTCTTGGTAATCTGTTAAAGGTCCTCTCCAGTAGTCGCTCTCGGTCTCTCGGCTTGCACACTAACTCACAAGCTATGAAATAATTAATATCGCCACTTCTAGTATTACTCAAAAGATTACACTTGTACCTTACTATTATGATTCATTTACTCTTCAGAATGTCTTCATTTTACTTGGCATGTTTTGAAGTATTTTTATAGTCTTCATTTCTACTCTTAACAGTAGTTTTTCAGTCTCATCAATTCTCCACATTACAATAGGTAATAAGTCGCAACAAAAATTAGTCATCAACAACTACTACGTATTAGGTTACAAGTTGGAAACGTTTTCTTTTTGTCATTAATTTTCGCGAAACAAAAGGAAAATGTTAAAATCATTGTACAGTTGAATCCGTTCATCGTCATTATAACCTTCGACTGAAATTATTACTGAGGTGTGGGACCGTCGACAGCATCCCCAATTTGTAGTCTAGGGTGGGTCTCAAAGGGGCCTTGCCCAGGTGAGTTCCGGTACCAGCCAAAAAAATAAAAAATAATTAAAAAAATAAAGAAATACAATATATTTGAAAAATTAGGATTGAACTTTATATGTTAAATTTTACTTTAGAAAACTTGTTTCAAATTAAGTTTAGACATTTTAGCTAGTTAATTCATTTCAAAAAAAATTAATTCCAAATGTAGTTTTTTGAATCTGAAAATCGAGAGTATAATTTATTTTTAACTGGTCACGCGAGGAAACTTTAATCACAATTAAATTAGATACTATTGCACTTATAGTTACGGTCGGTTTACAAATTACATTACCACCTATTTATAAACATATTATCTACCATTTAAAATTGTCTCAGATAAATATATGCAACTATGCAAAATCTTCTACTCTCCTAAAGTATCCTGTATTTGTTAAACTCTATAATGCTCTAAAATCTTTCATATTTGTCCGACACTCCACAACCTTTTCAAAGTATTTAAAAGACTTTTCAATAAATAGGTGGCGGGTGACACTAAGCCCAAGAACTAAACTAAGTAATTATTTTGATAAATCTGTTTATGTTTTAAAATTGACGTGGTTCTGCTCTGGGAGATGTGACTTTCCTAGTCAACCTCTCGCTTTGAATATGCATCTGATTGTTCTGCCATATCATGGTTATTTTTCCAATACAGTGTGTGTATACACTGTATACACACACTGTATTGGCAGATTGTTCCATTCTTTTTAAGTGTGGTTTTTTTAAAAAAATTATTATTAAATGAATTCCACATACTTATTAAATATAAATATATATATATATATATACGATACATACAGCGAACAGAGCTTTTGCCATAATGTTACATGAATTGAATCCGAATGTCATGCTTGCAGAAAAAGCATATGAAAAAGAAGTGAAAATAGGAGATGAAACTATAAAATCCAGCAGCAGGTAAGCTATGACAATACTGACAGCTTTCTCCAATTCAAATTTTGCCTTGCAACTCTATGCTTAATTATTTATACTATATTGTAGGTGGCAGTGTGTGCAATCATACGCAGATCCAGTCCAAAGTTTGAAGGATGACAATGGTGCATCATCAATCATCATTCCAACCCCAAGTTTCCAAGACCCTAATGCTGCTGCAATGGTTTCAGTGCCACTTTTCGAAGATCCTAAAACTGCATTTGCTCCAATAAGACCCCATTGTTCCATAGATCTTAATGCTCCACCCGTTTTATTCCCAGATTTCGAAGATCCTAATCCAGCAATGGCTTCTGTCCCAGTGCAGAGTTTCCAAGATCCCAAGGGAAAATCACCTTCTACATGGAGACCCTCCGGCTGACAAGAAGAAATATGAGTTGAAGTGGAGCTGTGAGTATTACCCAACTCACAGAGTGGGAGCTGAAACAGGAGAGTCCGAGCGGAGCACGAGACTCATTTAGAAAAATTGTGTAACTAAGGTATTATGTATCTTGGTGAGAATAGAGTTTATGTATCATGACAGGTTATGTTTGCTTTTAAATTTGGCATTCTAAGATAATGGGTGACCTATATTGTCCAAATACTTTATCCCAATTTTAAATTAATTAACATTGCCTTATCCCATATGTTTGGATTGGTGATCCATTTATGTTGCCAAATTCAGGGCAATGTACCAAAAGGACCTACCTCTAGACCAAATATTTTAGAAAATAAAAAAAAAAATGTTTTCAAAAACATGTTCTTCAAAATTGTTCTAAAAAAAATTGAGCCATATAGGGCCATTGTTTCTTGCTCAGTTCAAATGGTGTAAAGGCATGTAGGAACTGTCCATATTTAGACCCCAACTCCTCGAAACCAGTTTAAGCAAATCAAGAAATGAATGCAACTTTATTCTTCTACTGTATATTCTTCTTGGTAAAGACAACCAAAAGTAGAACATCCTTTGGTTTCTTGACATGTATGCCATCAAAAAAGGTTGTGAAAAAAAGAAAAAGAAAAGGAAATTGACATAAAAAAAAAGGCCAATGTATACTTGAAAATATTATTCTCACAGTTTTATTTACTACTAGTATCATCAAATTCTCATTACTTTCTTTTACAGTACTTCAATATTAATCATTTAAATTCAAATACATAAATTAACAATTAGATTTTTTTTTCTTAAGAATATAAAATTTGGTGGAACTTTTAATTTGATAAATGTCCTTCCAAAATAAATGCTCACATCACAAACTAGACAAATTGTCCAACTTTCATTATCAACCTTTCCAAGATAATATCTATCTATATATATATATATATATATATATATATATATATTGTGTATATAATATATAAACCTTTCCGAGCGAGCTTAATGCATAGACAATTTTGACAAGAGTCTTGATCCCTAACAATTTTGACCAATAGTCATCTCTTGCTCACCAAAATCCATTATCAAAATCGTCTGTCTCTCCTTCTTCAACAGATCTCCCCCAAAAAATCACAAACGCAAAAAATATAATCTATGTGTGTATATGAATGTGTTTTGTGTATGTGTAATGACTTAGACTTAAACAGACTAAAAAATAATAATGAGTGTTTGGGTTCTGCAAAAACTGGTGGAGTTGACCGGCCTTCATTATCTTGCAACTTTGTTGCTTGAGGATAATCAATTGACCAGAAAAGGGAAGAGAAGAAGACCAAAAACATATATTTTATTTTTGTCGGTACAAATCTCAAGACTTAGAGATCCAACCGTTCATATGCGAGAGCCGCGTCGCAATAGCATTATCCTATTTAATATTCATTTCAATTTTTTAAAAGGTTAAAAATATAAATTACTCAATAATTATTAGTTATTCTTTTTTTTCAATCTCATTTTCTTCCCATTTTAAGGCGGATAAAAAATTACAAAGGAACGAGAGATGTTTCATCCTTTCTCCCTTTCTTTCTTTCCTTCTAACCAAACACAAAAATATTCTTCATTTCCCTTCTCATCCATCCCTCCTTAATCCCTTCCTCTAACCAAGTATAACTTCAAATAAATTCTCTTACACTGGGTGGGCAAGATATCATGACTCATTTTGACAATTACCTACTGCCAAACCATTTACTCAGGTGGTACAACCCCCTTTTTAAAGCAGATGTGGGATTTCGAATTGTGAGCAAGAGTGTTGTTTGAGAATTTACCTTAAAAAAAAAAAAAAAAAAAGACAATTACCTAGAGCCTTGCATGAAAAATGCCCAAATTGAATTTACATTGATAATAATCTTCTCACTTATTATTTTTTAAACTATTTTTTCTCTTATACTTCTTCAAATTCACTAATTGTATGATTGTGCACAAAGCCCTAATATCTCATGATGAGCTTTCTATTTGAAAATTCTCTATAATTATTGAGACTCAAAAACAATTAGAGCTAAGAATAAAAAAATAATTTTTCATTGACAATGCTATAACTTTATCCATTAGAAAATATCATTTGGGTTGTTTTAACCAAAAATTGGATAAAACCTTCAAAATTTTGCCAACTATTTTAATAAAACCTTCTTAGTTTATTACTCTACTTGCATGGAGTTTTAGGATCCATTATAGGATCAACTGATCAAGCATGTAGTCCATAGAATTAATTAAAGTGGCTTAATACAAATTGGTGAATATCCAAACAACAAGACGTCACGTGTTCAAGTCACAAATATGACCGTAATAACCATTTTTTCTATCACAATTTGCTGTAATTTATTACTATTTGCACGTTACTTTTACTTTTTTAACACAATTATTTTATTTTTTAACATACTAATTTTAAACACATTAATTCTAATTTTCAGCCGATCGAAAATTTAGCTGGTAGATTTAATAGATTAAAACAAAATTTAATTGTGTTCAAAAACCTTACAATAGGATTAGGGCAACATATACGGATTATAATACATACAACGGGTATAAAATATACGAGTCACACAGTCACACACAACAAAGAGTTCATCAAAACGTTACACGTTATTTATCAACGCGCGCTTTGAACCTTTTTGAGTCTGAAGCTGAAAGGAAATCAAATTCCGTTCTTCTTCGCAATATTGGAAAAAAATAATTTCCGTTCCTGGGGTTGTGTTTCAATGTACCAAATCGAAGAGAACACGAACAAAGCCTCTCGACGTCTGGTTTCTAGTTCCAAATTCCATTTTCTGTTTGCTCCTTCGAAGGTAAGCAAATTTACTCCTCTTTACATGAAACAAATTCTCATAAACATTCTCTTTCATTTTCCTGGTAAAATTCCGGAGGAAAAGAAAAGAAAAAGAAAAATAATCTTTCTCAATTTTCCCCTTCTTGATTTTGATTGTCATGACTTTGAAAGTTCAACTCATATTATAATTACAATATTTCCGTCTCCTACTTTGCTAATCTCAAACAATACACATTGAATATTTATCATTCATATCAGTACTACCAACTCACGCATATGTGTTTTGGGTGTATATATAATTATATATGTATATATATTATCATTACGTATATACATCTGTGTATATATATTATATTTATACCATTCATCTACTTATCAGTTTTTATTATATTTTTTATTTTTTTATTTCTGTGAAATCCAGTGAAGACATATGAGAAAGATAGTCTTGATTTAAACAATTTTCAGTATTCATAGTGTTTGGGGACTATCTTGTTTTCTTTATTGGATCTTTATCAATTAATTTAGGTTTCATTACGAAGTACTTGTAATCGAGGTTTTTGGAAATGCTAGGCTATGAGTCTGCTAGAATCTCAAATTTAACTGTGAACTTGGATACATTTCGTTAGCTTTTTAATGTATGTTTCAGACGTCTGGCAAGTTTCATGGTTTAGGTGAATGTCTAATGAGAGCGTGTCAGTCCTTGTGGTGTGTCTCAGGCTGTAATTCTTGAGCCTCCCCTGGAGGTTACCCTAAAAACCTTTTAAAACTTAATAAATTAGTGTAATTCTTCCTTACATTTTGCTAGCAAAATGTAAGGAAGGAAAATAAGACACCAAATTTTTTTGCTAATAATTCTTTAGTTTTTTTTGGTCCCACTATGAGATAGCCCTTCCCCTTGACCTCCCTACGAAAATGGAGGCAGGTTTTAAACCTAGGTCTCTAGTATGATTACTGAGAGATTTTACCGATTAGGTTAGTTGGCCCTTCTTCCAAAACTCAAATTATATCTAATTTATCCTCAAGTTTGTCTTAATTATTCTTTCTATATAATATTTATGCACATATGATACTATATTTTACTTCACATGTTCATATAAGCTAAGGTGCCGGGTTACCCATATATGTTATTTGCTTTTGATTGCAAAAAACATAATGACTGAGGACAAAAAAAAAACAAAGTTAGTAGATAGATTTGATGTTTTAGATGAGAGCTGCAAGATTTCATCTTCTTATTTATATATGGCGTCCTTTTTGCAATTAACTCTCTTTCTCTCTCTAGCAAGACAATGTCCTGCATACTGCAACAGATACTCTGCACTATTATCCATTCTAAGAATCATATAACCAAATCTGCCTCCAAAGACTTTAGTGAAAAAAAGGTATATAGCCCCCCAAGTTAATTTTTTATTCTATTTTTGGTGCTCAATTTTTCAAATCATTTTAGCTCAGTGAACACCATCTAATCGATGAACTTGGCAATTTACATTGGAGCTTATTTAAGGCATACGATGTTAAGTCTTTTGTGTTAGTCTAATCTATAGTTGTTAAAGGCGCGCCTAGGCTCCAAAAAAGCCCCAGGCTCGTCAAGGCTCAGTTAGAGCGTCTCAACCTACTACAGGCCAGGCCCCTTCAATCAGGCTAACATAAAGCCCTCGGGCTCAGGCTTTTTAGTAGGCTCCAGGCTCAAAAAAGGCGCGCCTTGTATTTTTTAATCATTTATTCATATCATTTTCTTATTTACTTATTGACTACTAAATTAAAAGGTTCTATATCATATACCGTATTGTTTATCCTTATGAAATATTTAACAAAATTCAAAAATTTATGGTTCACTACTTACATTAACTGCAATTACAACTTGATTATGAATATATATAATAATACATGCATTATTATATACATGCGCCTTACTTCGATCAGGCTCGCGCCTTATACTGCGCCTTGCGCCTAGGCTCCAAAAGGCCTAATCTGTCTGGTTTCCTTATCACTCGTTAGTATCATCACATTCTCTTGTTGAACTTTTTACTATTCTCTTATGTTATTTTTCTGTTATCTAATATGAAACTCTTGTCTTGTTGGGACATCCCTTAAATATGAATTGCCCCATCTATGCCATCAATAAAAAATTAAAAATTGTGGAGTTCACCAATTTACATGATCATGTATAGCTTTTCCTTGAATTAAAAAAGAAAAAGAAAAAGAAGAAACAAAACAAAACAAAATTATAAACCTTTTGTTGAGATGGTCTCCACTTTCTCAAATGGCTTCAACTAAGAAGATGTTTTCCTAGGTTCAGACTCTGTAAGTGAGTTGGGTCTTTCAAATGCAAGGGATTTCATGACAGGCCCTTGCTTTAAAATCAGTTTTCTATCTAATTAGTTATTATTTCTCCATATTTTCTAAAATTCAGGATACGCATGTTGCCTCAACACAACTCAACTGAAGTGTTGGCTTGAGTTCTTTGTTGGATCATTTAAATAATTTGCCTATGAATTCTGTAAAGGTCTTTGATTGTTGCAAATTATCATCTTACTCATAGAATTTACCTTCTTATGCTATGTTGATACTTGATACAGCTTATATGTGATCAGTGGGGGTACGATATGACCAAATCTGGGAATCAAATCATGATCCTCTGGTTTCATATATTACATAAGGAATTGGATCATCTAATTTACTAGAAGAACTATGTCAAGATGTTCCATTCATGGGATGATTAGTCTTGCTCTAATCATACTTTTTATCTTAGACACTGGCATCATATTAACGTTCTTTATTTTACTCCATAATTTCTATGCCTTCTTTTATCTGTTTACAGTTCTTTGCTATTTTTTATGAAATGAGCAATCCCAACCTACCAAGGGTTTTCTACTAAATTTGTGGAATACATGTTGATTTGCTATGTTTCTATGTAATTAGTAAATACTCCAAATTTCATAGTTGCCGGTTGTGTGTTAGGCAACAAATTGAAGTCTAATGTTACTTGTTTTACATTTGATGAACTCATACTGGGATCTATGGTTGATCTGATCTTTTCCTCCTTTTTTTTTTTTTTCCTTAAACTATAAGTGCAGTTTATTGTGAATTCAGTAACCAAGCATCTAACAAACAAAAATCTAGTATTATGGAGTTGTGCGTATTAAGAATTAGAATATAGTATTATGGAGTGGTGCATATTAAGAATTGAGCGCTTCTTAGTTTGAGACCAAGTCCTAACTCCAGAGGACCAGAAATCATTGCAAATAAGAAAATTTCAACTGGTTCTCAATCTCTTTTCTAATTATTTTGATGTTCTTTTTCACATTACCATCTGATATGATAAACCATAAGGCTCTAAGAAGATTTTCATTTATTCTTTTTTTAATCATATGAATTTGGTTTATAAGTTTATTCTATCGGAACTTAGCTGCGCATGCCCTTCTAATTTTTTTTTCTTTCTTTAAACTAAATTATTGTCATGTCTTCTATGCAAGTTATTTTTAAAATGCTAGTTTATTTGATTTCCTTTTTAATTTAAATTTCAAAATTTTGGCAATTAAATCCGAATACCACGTGTTACATGAATTTTTTTAAAATTTTCTATAGTTATAGAAAGTGGTGACTGCGCATTAATTGTAAAGATTAGAACAAGCATTTCTAAGGGAATATAGATCTGGCAATCTTGTATATGAAAAAATAATGTGTACAGAATACCACATGTTACATAAATTCTTTTAAAAAAAAATTCTAAAGTTATAGAAAGTGGTGACTGCATGTGAATTGTAAAGATTAGAACAAGAATTTCTAAGGGACTATAGATTTGGCAATCATGTATATGAAAAAACAATGTGTACAGAAGATGTGCATATCTACTGTGTTCTTCTGTAGAAAATTAATTAAAGCTAGGTTAACAAGGTGATGGTGTTGAAATTTATGTGGTGTTCAGCATGATTACTTTAGGAAAATAAGAAAAGGTTAGCAAGGTGATGGGTGTTGACATTCATGTGGTGTTCAACATGATTACTTTAGGGAAATAAAGAAAAACCACAGAAACATGTAACTGTTACTTAACTGACGCAGGTTGAACGCGAATACATGTCAAAATATCTTGATGTTCATGTCACATTCCAGAACTGGCCAAAACAGTTGCAACTAGAAGGATAATTGTGCATGTGCGTGTAGCACAACCATGGAATGCCTGCATTCAAGTTTTGCCCAGTCACTTAGGAGAAAAGCTACGGAAAAGGAAAATAAAAGGATGAAAACGATGAGGACATGGCTCATAAAACTCAATGGTCATTGTAAGAAGTGGTAGAAGATAATTAATGACCTAGCTGGTATATCCCTTGTAAAAGGTGCTAGAAGATTATTATTAACTTAGCTGCTATTTCCCTTCAAAGTAATATTATTATTTTATTTATTTATTTATTTAAACTTAGCTGGTAATGTCCCTTCTTCACTCACAGGAGAGGGAGTAATTGCCCACTCACTGGATCTGCTGAACCAATCCAAAATAGATAAAATGACATATTCCTAGCGGAACATAGTTGTTGGAGTGCTCATAACTTTTTTGCATGTTTTCCTCATTTCTTGACCTCATCTCATATTGTATTATGAAGCAACAAACCTGCTTCACCATTTCTTTACCACTGTTACTCACATCACCAATTAGATTTCTATTCTAGTTCACCAGGCAGAAATATTACTTTCTATTTATAGCAATAATGTGTGTAGAATTTTATTTCAGTTATTTTCTACTTACTGATCTTGATTTTCGTTCCTCATCTTTTTGGTTTATTTTACAGGTGAATTCTTTGGCATCATGATCACTGGTTTTCTTAAGTCGATCAATGAAGATAGGATTATTGTGTAGTCTCTCATGTGTTATGACAGGTCAGTAATATCACTCTCTCTTATTTTGCTCTGTGAACCATTTAAATGTTCATGCAGTTAATTAAAGAGGTGAGACCTAGTTGGTGGAGGAATTTTATGAACCTATAAACACCTATAACTTCTATTATTAGATATGCCACATCATAAGCTAAGAATGATGTGCTCGATAGATATTATTATGGTACTCTGTTCCTACCTCGTACAGCTTATAGTGAAGGCAAATACTGATTAACTTAGCAAAGAAGAACAAAAATGGATAAAGGAAAATCTAAAAATTGTGGCCTTCTCAGTCACGAAACTCAGTGGAACTTGTGATGAACTAGTTTGCGGATTCAGCTCTGAGGTGAGCCGTGTTGCAGGGTATGTCATCCAGGTCCTCCAAAGTTGGGTAAGGACTATTGAGCTGCATGCCACTAAGCATTTGACGAAGTTCTGAAGTTTGTTCTTTGAGCTGAGCATTCTCTTGAATGACCCTGTCGTGGCACTCCGAAACATAATTCAGTTTATCTATGAGCTGGTGATTCTCGTTTCGAAGCCAAACAACCTGTGACCAGAGCTCATTCAGGTGCTTCTGCTTGCGCATACGTGATCGGCGTGCAGATTCTCTATTGGATATCATTCTTCTCTGCTTTCTCTCGTTGATGATACTTTGTTGCTCATCTGCTTCATCAGAAGTTGAGTTACCACTGAAACATGTTGACTGTAGGTTGAATTCTTGAACTTGAGGAGTGATCTGAAGATGATATAGTGGATTAGAGAATCTGCCAAACTGAACTGTGGATGTGTAGTTCTGGGGCAAACTAGATTGAAGGGGGTGTGCAATTGGGTTTGAAGGAAGTAGATAATGAAGTTCTGTAACCTCACCGGGTTGCATGGCTTTGAACTTTTTGAATGAATGGACCGAGTTTTGAGGGGAGGTTCAGATAGAGGAAATTGGTGTTGGATAGAAGCTGGAGGAAGCCTGTGGAGAGGTGGAAATTTATAGGACGGAAAAGGTTAAAGCTGCCCCACCTTTAGCAATTAGAGGTACAGGGGCTTCTTAAAGATGACCATTGGAATATGAAGTAGTCATCTACTTGTGCTTATGCGGCATCATGTTCATGCATGCATGGAGTGATGGAAATATGTGGCATTGGATTCTATTTAGGTGTAATTCACACCATTTATGGCCAATCAATGGTTACATACACACATGCATGTGATGACATATTAGTTGATATTTGCACATATGTATACATACATGGGGCATATGAATTGAGTTGTGGATAATTTGGGATCAAATGATCAATAAATGCTTGCGTCAGAGAGAGAGCTAGCTTTATATTGTGGGGAGTATCATTATTTGAAGGGGCAATGTTTTTGACGAAAAAAAAAGCAAATGAATGAAATTTGGTTCAAGAAGTCAATCTCATAAGTGGTGTATTGACAAAGCGAGCCAGTGTAAGATGGGTTTTACATTTTATTGTTAGCCAACGTTGCCCAGTGACGTAAAGGAATTGGAGGTCTGGGAAGGAAAATCCTTTTCTATAAGTGGAAAAGATTATATAAGGAATCGATGACTCAACAACCACTTTTATGAGACCCAGCAAAGAAAATAGGTACAAAATCTACTCGATCCTTAAAATTTTGGTTATTAGGAACTACAGTCCCTTCTTGTGGCACACTTAAATACCCAATCAATGTGCAGTATTATAAGGAGGGCTGTCTTAGTCATGGTAGCACCAAAAATCAGCAGAACGAGTGAATTATTATATTCTCCACTCCATTCTTTTGAAGAATGACAACAGCACCTTCCACTGTGATTGGTAAGTGATAAAGCATAGGGGAAGTGCCAATAGGTGTGATGTGATATTTTACCAAATAATATTTGCCCATTGGGGTGCCTTTGAATTCCACATGAAAAGTAATTTATTTATTTATTTCTGGTTTTGCATTGAACTTTAAAACAAAACTCAGTCATTCAGTGAACAGAATGTAAAAGAGCATCACCTAAAAGGATGAGGAAAATTTAATTTGCATCATTTAATCAAATACTAGACTCCTTTTTAAAGAATTGACTCATTTCAAGTGCTAATGAAATGAACAAGCATACAGAAAAAAAAAAAAAAAAAAATTGAACAAGCATACAGAACCTTCTGAGATTAACCTTGAACTGGTTTATGTTATGATGATGCTGAAGAAAATAAATAAATAAATAAAAAAGTTCAACTTCTGACTGGAAGGCTAGTTACAATTTAAAAAATACTGACCTCATTAAGAAAAATAGGAATTTAAGCTAGAGTTTTAAGGAAAATAAGAAATAAAAAACTACATGATAGATTTAGAGGAGAACTAAAATATAATGCCTGCTGAATAAGAACTGGGTTACTAAAATTTCTTATGGGTGATGTAAAAAATATTATATAACAATAAAATAATGATAATAGATTATTACATGCCCCAACAGGCTTCATTTGTGATCTCTAGTAATAGTTTTGTAGTGTTGCATTAAGTTTCATTAGCTTGTGTCCTGACTACTAGCGTGTGAACAAGTGGAAAAATCTTGTTAATGGTGGTGGGCATGGAGAGGTGGAAAAGACATGGATGTACTTTGAAGTGCAGTCTTCCATTAGTGCAAAGAACTTTGTAAATGCATCCAGAACCTGAATCCTATGGAGGCAAATGCTCCCTTCCTACTTTATGTTGGGTCAGGTTGAGTGGACTAAATGGTCAACAAAATCATTAGACAGATGTAGACCCCTATTTCTTTTCCTGTCTTCAAATTGCTTTTCCCTTGTTCCATTTAAATCATGTTTCTTTTCTTTTTCCTTTCCGTGTTCTAGTACAGTTTTTTTCCCATATGAGAGGACTAAGAATACAAAGCTGGTTCATGTAGTCGAATAAATATGTCAGTAGATCTTCTTGTTTAGCGTACTTGTATGAATACATTTTTAGATTGATGATATTGCACCAATTAATGTTAATAGCTGAAAATAAACCCGGGGATGCCCAACTAACCATTTCTTTCCCCCTCCGAGCAAAGAGGAATCTGTATAGTCTACTTTGTAGAAGTGAAAAGAGAAAGAAATAGAAGGGAGAGAATAAGGGAAGAAATCCGTATAGTTTTATTGTTTGGTATGGAGGATAGGAGGGAGAGTCTGGGTCAATTATAATATTCCCAGTCAGAAATTTATTTCTTTTTAGTGTAAAGGAAAAGGGAAATGAAGGAGTCCTTTTTTCACTTTTGCCCTTCAAGTATGAACATTCTTTTAATATGTAAAAGATTAATAGTTAAACACCCCCACCTTCCATCAAAAAAAAAAGAAGGAAAACCCCCACCATTTTTCTTTCATTCTTTCATTCTTTCTAAATCTAACATGACAAGGATATGACTTTTTTACGATTTATTTTCTGTTCCTTTTACTATTCCTTTTACCATTCCATTCTTTCTAATTTTCTACCCACCTTACCAAACAGAGTGTCAGATACACTTGATATTTTATCATATTTATGTCAACATCTATTTAGTGATTAATATTGATAGGTATACCACATCTATGTATATTGCCTTTTACCCTTATTTTTTTGGCAGCTTGAACCTTTTATCTTCTTATACTGATGTGAATTCTTCTGATGTATTCCAAATTTTAGGCATTATAATGATAATATTGGCATGTGAGCTCTTCCATTTTTTTTAATTTTTTTTTTGCATTATTCCTTTTTCTTTGTTCGACTTCTCAAAAGGATAATGCTCTAAATATATTTTTAATTGATTTTTTTTTTTGGCTAACGTCATCCATCCAAGTCTCTTAAGTTCTCAACTCAGTTATTCTCTCAAGCATCTGAATTCAGCAACCTCACGTGAATTTGATTCAATAGCCATAACATGCTGGTGCAAGGTTATTTCAACAGCGCAAGAAAGAAATTTCTGAATCTTTTCAAAAAAATTTAATCAGCTGGATTGCTGGAAAGCATTTTCTATAGGACTTAACCATGGTTATTAGCTTGGATTTATTGTGCTAACTGTTTTGCATGTTAGTTAAAATCATAGCTTTGCCTATTCCTGTAGTCTTGGATTTCATAAGAACCAGGCTGAACTTGGTCTTAACACTTCCCTGGATGGACAAGTTCCCTCATATTATATTACAGAAAGTCAAGTCTCCCCCTCATAATAGATTGGTTAGGGCAGTGAATTGATATTTTGTTCTAAATAAATGACGCTATAATTAGTCCACTTGATATTTGGAATACTGTTCTTTTAATCAATAAATTTGATGAAAAATGTTAGCATGGCCAGTTTTCTGTACAAAGGACAAGCTTTACGGATATGAGAGAAGGCATTAGGATCCTCTCCAGTGCACTGCATAATCTTGTGCATTTTTAATCGAGAGTGCACACTATCGAATGTGTGACACTAATGAACACTTCTGCAACATATTTGATTTAACCAATACTTTTCCCTTAGGCACTATCTGATTGCCTCCAAATTCCCGAGAAATTCTAAGTTCCTAAAGAGGCATGAATATATCTGCATATATACAATTACACACAAAACCACCCTCTCATTAGACGTGAAAGCAATGATTGAATACATGCTGATGCTACCCACCTGAGCCCCTCACCTGGCATGCATATCTTATCTATCTTTAAAGATTATTATACCCGTATCTTACTTTTTACTCACTATACCCTTCATAGTGTGAACCCAGAAGAATTCCAAAACATTGGCAATGTCAATTTGGGAATTCTGAAATTGCTGGATATCTGACGATAAGGTTCACTGCCCTAAAATGACGGACTTGGTCATGCACGGAGGGGTACTTGATTTAACGGCCACTCATTTCAAGTATCAAAAACACTAAAATCATTTGGAAAGACAACCTAGGCTAGGCAATGAGAAAAATCTGGACGCATGATAGATTTCATGTGTGGGCTCCGCAAGCAAGCTCGCGTGGGTGCCGGATGCACCAGCCTCTACCCTATAGGCCTGTTGTCCTAATTATCAGCTCGACGGAATCCCCCAACTCCGAAAAAAGTGTGTGTGTATGTGTGAAAACCAGCCTTTGCAGCTCCTCCCGTCCCCACCCACCATTGTACTCTATTTTGTGGAGTATTGTCTCTTGTACCATATGTGGCCATTTCTGTAACCCACTAAACCAACTTAAGCATTTTTACTTCAATTGCAATCCAATTCATGGCAAGGGAGGGCAAGTAATTTCTGCTGTTGTATGATATGTAAATTCAATCTATTTTCTTGTTTTGAGTTTTTCTGTTCACATGTTATCATATCAAATCTATTAAACAATCCTGAGTTCCGTGAGCTTATGTTTGTTCTAGTGCCTTTGCTTCATACTTGGTACTAAGCAGTACGCTTTCCATTGAAATGTGTTCGTTCATAGCAACAATAGCAAGTTGTAGAATTTATCATTTGAATAACCATGAATTTAAACTTCATTTACTAGGACTATGAACGGAGACATGCTCTACCTCTGCTGGACAAAAAATTTAATGCCCCATATCATTTGTTTCTCTAATGAGGTCATGAGATCTTGAGAGATCAGTTGAGAGTGGATAAGCTCATATCAGCCAACACCTTCTTCGTCACCCTCCTACTTTTGTTTCACTTTTTCTTATATAGACATAAATAAAAAAACCTCAATTGTATAATGATTTTATTTGTTGTTAAGTGCTTTAATAATGTTGCATCTTTTGATTGTATATGCTATAAAATATATAGTTGTGGATGGTGCATTTTCGGCTACTTGCACAGTTTGCTACATGCTTGCGTATTTGTAATAAGGTTTTGATCCACTAACAACGTGGATAATAAAGGTGTTTGGTTCTTTTTAAAGCGAATGGACTTTTACCTTTTCTTTTTTTTTTTCGTTTGTGCTAAACACCATCTTTGTCATCCTAATTGTTATTTGTTCTTGTCGTTGTCATAATGTGACTATTTTTGTGCAACATTTGCTTTGTGTTGAGTCATTTTCCTTAATGTGACACTACAGAAATTGATTCTGCAATTCATGTTGTCTCGTTAAAAAAAAGGTACTGGATTTTCCATGTAATTGTCTTCTTTTACATTTCCTGAGTTTTAAACGCATTTGCCTTAAAGTGTGTTTAGTGATGATTGTTTTATAATGACATGGGAGAACCCAATTACACACGGTTAAAACACCTAATCTTCACAAATAGTTCTGGAAGTTTAGAAGGTAATGCCTTGTAATTTTTTCAAGTTGTTACTAGTTCGATGCCAGGTCATTGTTTTTGATGTTTTCATTAGTTTATAATGCTACATAAGCCAACTCGGCAAAGCTGAATCGGCCTAAGATTAATATATATATATATATATATATATATATATATATATATATATATATATCATATGATTTTCCGGGAAATTTTGGAATATGCCTCTCTGTATTATTGTGGTGACGATTGTTGGTATAATGGATCTTAAAAGACTACCCTTTCAAACCAGAGGTGATATGCACCCTTTTCTGTAGACATGGTTAATCCTTCGGTGCTTCTATGTTTATCTGCCTCTTGTTTCTAGTGTCTTATTTTCAACTGACTATAATACTTTTTGATGTCTTTATCCACACCTTCGTGATTAAATTACCAAATTGTTCTTAATCAAGGTTTATAGACTGTGAACGCATTTATAGCCCAACAGTTGGGTTGCTTCCCGTTATTCTTGGAGGTCCGGCTTCGATTTCTTGTCAGGACAAGATTTAGATTTTGAGGAGAATGACATCAATATCTTCATGAAAAGAATTGACTGATTAGTTTGATTTTCTTCAAAATTTCATTCACAAAATAATCATTACATTACTTTAAATAGTTATTATTTAATAGTTATGGTTCATATTATTTGCACAAAGTGATTGTTATTTTTAAATAATAATTAAAATTATGTGATCATAAATAAATATAAAATCAAAGTGTTATCAAACCAATGCTTTCATTTTCAAACCCCAAATGATTGAGGTAATAATTTTTAGTCCCCACACTGGGAAAAAAGGGTACCCTACGCGAGAAAAAGAGAGTGTTGTTGAATCAAAAGGCACTAGCAAGAGGCAAAGGCATAATAAGGTTTCTAAGTGCTTTGTTTGGTTGCATAAAGTGGACATTAAAAACAACCATTAGCCATGGTCAGCCACTCCATTTGTGAAAATGACATATATTTGTATACTTTTTTATTCATTTTCCATCTGTGACTTATTAAGACTAATGGAATTCATATATCTTTAAAGCCCAAAAAAAAAAAAAAAGGGTGAATCAAATTACAATAGTGCAGCTGCCATTGAATTGAATAACCAGTAATGTTAGACACACATCTCATTTAGTAATGCATTTGTCAACCTATTATCTTATGTATAAGATACATGTATAAATTTTATAGTTATATACTACAATCGCATAAAAATTGTTGTCTTTTTTTTTTTTTTTTTATAATCTAATTTTAACCATTAATAACTTATGCAGTACTATAAACCTGGATCAAAATTTTCTCTTGCGCTTTATTATATATGTTCCAGTTGGTAAGAAAAATATTGGGATGCACGATAGGAAAATGTTGAAATAAAAAGCAAAACGTCACATCATTACGTGTATCACTAATTTTTCTCACCGGCTAAGACAGATACAATGTAACGCATGAGCGGGTTTAATCCTATAAACTTAATCCTTTGTAGTCAAAGTTTGACAAAAAGGACATTTCATTAGTTAGTGGTAATTTTGGTATAAGAAAAAGGACCCCTTACCACAAAATGTAAGAAAAATCAATAAAAGATAATGTCATTCATACCGTCATTGCTTGATGAAATAGTAACAATTTGTTGAAAGTCTTTCATGGTCAATTGTACACTATCATTTTGTACCATGTTATGTTTAAAAACACGGAATGAACCTCTTATTTACTTCAAAGTCTTGATTTTTTGTATATTACTTTTACAGGATAATGCTAAAGGATATCCAGTCTTGTGATATTCACACATAATTCTGTCATGCACAGCGCATAATGCATATGCCCTCATTTTCACAACATGGGTGTACACTTGTAGGGGTGGGTATTTGATCTGTCAATTCGCAAGTCTGATTTAATTTGTGCAGACCTGATTGAATTGTTAGATTCATAAATTGGTGGTGATTTTTTTTTTTTTTGCCTATTTGGTACCCACACACCTCGAAATTATTTACACACACATGAAACCTGATCAAGACCTAAGTCTTTTCTAACTAAGCCAATCCCTTGGAATTAATCGGTGGTGGATTCAATAATATGAAATCCGTAGTTTATAGATCATAATACAAATTAGGCTGTTAAAAATCTGATGCATTGGTAATTTGATCTGATTTGTTCCGTGATATATATATATATATATATTCTAAGAATGTATTATTATTGATCATTTAATATCCTGTATTAAGTAATGATTATTTAAATATATAAATTAAAATTTTATTTTCATAAAATTTGTTATCCCACACATCAATGACAAATTAAGATTTTTCAATCCCTTTGAATCAAATCAAAATAGAATTGATGTAGTCACCACTAAAACGTTGCATAAGGCACTCCAACACACAAAAACACACTCGAACGCGTAACAACCACACGCAATCACAACCTTAAATATCACACAAACTTAAAACATAGGACTGCAACACGGCACTTGTGCCACAACACCCTATCAGCTTTCGACACAGTTATTCAAAACATCTCATTACACAGCAAAATTTCAATGATGTAAAATCTATCACTATATCAATAATAAAACAAAAAACAACGGTCTTCTAATAATTTTATTCTCTGAAAAGCTCTAAGAACCAAAAAAAAAATAATAAAAAAAGCTCAAGAATCCAAAAGTAAAGGAATTGGGACCGTACACGCTTGCCAGCTTAATTGTAAGATTTTGGTGGTACTTTTTGTATATTTTCCTTCGCAAAGGTTTGAAGTTAAATGATGCGATGCACATGATTTGTAAGCAGTTAGTGAGGTTTGAACTTAAATTATGTCTATAGTAATTTTTTAAGTTTCGACTTCGAGACTCATCAAATGTTGGCTAGCTCGAATATATATATATATATATATATATATATATATATATAGTGTTTAACAAAGGTCTAAGTTAAGATTATATAAAATAATTTGTTAAAAATTAATAAATAATTTATTTTTGTTAAGTTTTAATATTTTTTTTCTTCATAAGTATTTTACAACCAAATACCAAAAAACAAAGAAAATATTTTTCAGAACACCTGTTTAATTAAACTCCTACGACGCTGGGTGCAAGGATGACTGTCATGCTTGTTGGTAGGCAGAAGTACTTGAGTGGAATGATTCCAAGAAAGAGGCGTGTAGGCCTCACATAATGGCATGTTGTCATCGCCTGCACAAACTAGTTGAAAACTAAAGCCTTTTCCTGATGAGGGCTAAGGTAGGCCAAAATCAGTTAGCATGATCATAACTCATCAGAAGGAAATACATACATGTTTGGCTAATAAAAACCACATATAGGAACTCCAACCTCTATTGTCAAAATCAGTCTCAAACAACTTTAAAGATTTGAACTCTACTATTTTTTTCTACTACATGTTATAATAAAAACTAATCACAGTTGAAAACCATTAATATAGTTACATTATATAATGCTACTGCTAAGTCTGCCAACAATATCATGCACAACACAACGCACATTATCGCTATATGTTTCCCAAGCCCACCTAAATTAAACTACAAAAGAGCATCTGAAACCAATAAATAAACACCAGTCAGTCTATTCAAGAAGCTATGGATTGTCATATAATATCCAAAATCCTAAAATAATATATATATATATATATATATTCCCAAAATCCCTAAATTTCATCATGAACAACTCTAGGAATTCAAGTTTACTCTTAACACAATTAGAAAATACACCTCAGGTCTAAAGTGTGCAAATTTCCCACATGTCTTCTTCCAATGGGCGCAAATAACTTTATGTTTGGGCTTCCTTAGTGGTAGTTTTTATTACAATCGAAGTTTTCCACAATACATCATGATTAAGTGGTAAAAATCACCTCGTGAAATAATATGTCATTTCCTCCATTTGAAATGAGTGGTCTAGAAATGGCCACGTCAGTTATGTTTGGGATGCACTGTAGAAAAATGTTACGATGCATTGTAAGAAAATGTTAAGATACACTTTCATTCACAAAAATGAAGGAGATAGACTACTGTGCAAATGAAGAGGATCCTTGTCAATGATTAAGTACCAAATCTCAGTCCCTTCACATGTCCGGATTTTTCTACAAATGGTTTCATTCCATTTTACTAGATTTAAAAGGGAATAAAAACCATGATGATGTTAGTTCAAGTATAAGAGGTTTCAGGTCCTGATACGACACATTTGATGGCTGGAATTGTCACCAATTCAAATTAGTTAAGACATTGTAAAGAAAAATTATATATTTCTAAAAACTTCTCTAGAAGAATGCTTTCTTTCTAATGAAGCATGTTAAATGGTTCTTTTTCCCTTTTTTATTCTTTTTTTTTTTTTGGCAGGTTGATTAATACTTCGATTCTGAATTTGAAGAGGTTCTTTGTTTGATCTCCTTATGTTACAATACACATTTTTATTATATATATCAGTGCACCGTGTCTATTACGCAAATAAATAGTCATATGTCAGAGAAGCTTTGGAGGATGAGAATGTGCAACAAATACACATGGCTGCTCATGAATAGATGATAAATCCAAAGATAATATTTATAGTAGTATAAAACTTAAATGTCATATTGAAAACCTTCTGAAAAAAAGTGACTTGCGGCAATAATAGGACACAAATCAAGACTTTTAGCAATCCGGGTTACTTAGAACATTGAGGTGTTCTTTAATATATTTGCAAGGAATTATTTTCGAGATTCTAAGAGAAGGAAAATATTGGGAGCACAAAGAAATACTCTTCTGTCTCAAAAGAGACATTTATTTCGGGACAAGGACAGGAACAGAGGTAGTAACTGAAGATTCGTATGTAAACTAGGACATGTATTCCAAGACAATAACTAGGCATCAGCACTGGAAAGACAAGAAGAGACTTCACAACTTAGGTACCAAAAGTTGTCCTCAAATCGCTAGTCTTTTCAATAGTGATTAAGGAGAGACTTATTGGACATATTAAACAAGAGGTCCAATTGCTATTATTCTAAGCTAATGTTATATTCTAATTAACAAACCAATGTACCAATTAAGGCAACCACTTGTAAAAATAATGCCAAAACTTGTGTAAGCACTTAATCTACAGTTCTACACCTCCGAGCACCTCGCATCGGCAAGCCACTGATGCTTTTCTTCTGAATGGGGAAATAAGCTTAGTGATACTACTAAGGAGAGATTAAATGAACATCAACCATAAGAAACCCCAAAAAAGTGACAATATCCACAGTCTTGGATGGATTATCCACTATATGGGTGGTTGAGGTGGATATTGTTTGTGGCCTTAAGAGTAGTCTCGATAAAAGGGAGTGGTACATTTATATTTTGTGTTATCATCAATATTGATGAAATGAGAAAAGAATTACTACAACCAAAAAAAAAAAAAAAAGGAGCCCTTTTCTGCAAGACAATTATTGTTTAAAAAGAATAAAAAATTAGTAACCATGTATATGGTGATTTATTTACAGCTATTAAAAGACAACATTTTTATAGAATGCTCATTTTTAGAATTAAGATATTGAAATGGATGACAGGTGGTGCAAAAAAGGAAGACTAATATGTAATGGCGAACTATAAGGAGCAATGGATATCCAAAATGCAAGATTACAAAAAAAAAAAAACAATACAAAAGCCAAATAATCTTTTTTAATACAAGTAAAATACAAGGAAACCTTCAAATGAGTATGATACCTCACAATAGCTATTTTAATAATAAATCTATCATAGAATAGAACAAATTCCATTTGGCAGCCCTTCATTGGTTTCCTCTACTCCTTATTTTACAGGTAATGTAGTTTAGGGACAGTACTCAAATGATTTCTTTGGCAGACATACCATCGACTTCAAAACTTTTTCAAAGACGGCAAAATTTGTTATTTACCCTACTTTGAAAAAATTAAGCAAGAAAAGTACTAAAAAAGAGGTTCCTTTGCAATCAAACGAATCACTACAAATTCATTCTTTAACAGATCACCAATATTCCATGGTGACATCAATATTCATCTGGCAAGAGAAACCTCTTGCTGAAAAAAATAATAATAAAAAAGAGAAAAAATAAAACAAAGGCTGCAGAACAAAGGCCTAGGCTTTTGTGCTGGATAATTGGACCTAAATGATCCAATAAAAAAACAACAACAACAACAATAAAAATGCATTCTGTACAACATACAAATCAACCCTCAAATCCTGTGAGCCTACCAATTTTCAGAAGAAAGTATATAAAACTACATTGACTCGTGATTTTTAAATGGAGCTAGACGCAGAATAGAAAATCCAAAAGTTCTACAGTATGTATTGTAGCTTGCAAAAATGACAAAGATTCATATGCTTACAACCTAGCCTATCAAATGCACTTAGCAGACAAGTGATCATTCTATTTCCTTTGTTAATGTCTTTTCTTTACTTCTGCATTCAAATAAGATTACCAAAACCATTTACACCTGAAGTTCTAACCACCATTGTAACAAGAGAGAGATCCCAAAGCCCTGATGAACAATTCAAGTCATGTAAAGGGAAAAAAGAGTCTCACTTTTCAATTCATGACTCACATTTTTACTTGCCATGATTCCAGAAAGAGGCAAAGAACAACACTATATTTACAAGCACTTAGATCTCAAGTATTAACAAGAGTAAAACAAAAATGTTAACATCACAGAGCTCCATAAAGCTTTATAATTTTCACTTTATCTATATACTAATATTTTTGGTGTATAAACACCAGTACAACCAGATAGAAACAAATGGCATATTTTATTGAATAGGGAAAATTAAAGAAAATCACTATACTTAACGTTTCATAGTTCCATCAATACAACAAACAAAATCATCAAAAGACGTCATCAACATCACCAAAAAGACATGAATTCTTCCTACATGTTATTTACATAGATAGAACATAGTATCAAGGTAAGAGTTCAAAATTGAATCTGACCTGCATATCCTGTAACAGGCCAATACTATCCCTTCGGGTTTTCCTCTGCTCATAGTCAGGATCATCCGTGGGCAATTCATACCGACAAACAGGACACGTATTACGAATACTCAGCCATGGGACAATGCAGTCCCCATGGTAATGGTGTTGGCAAGGAAGCCTTGTCACTTTCTCTTCTGCCAAAATTGCATCCTTACAAACCGCACAAACAACATTGTCTTCCTTCAACTCTTCCTTAGTTAACACCACCGCCGGAAGATTTTCCACAACAGACTTGGCAGCCGGAGGACTACCCTTCAAAGCACTTTCATTCTGCAAAAATTGACCGAAGAGCGTATCATATTCAGCTGTGAAGGTATAATCATCATGAACGTCTAAATACGTGACACCACCATCACCATCATGTTCCAATTCAGATATTCTATCTAAATTATTAACCGCCAAAAGAACTTCCCATTCTAAATTCCGCACAGCCTCTTCCCCAATACCGATCTCTTCATCAATTGAAGTTTCAGAGGATACCGATAATCCTTCAATGCGATCAATGACTGCACTCATACCTTCTCTGTCATCAATCCTCCCATCCACTTCCTCCCACTCCAATTCTTCATTCGTGACCCTTTGATCCTCAAATCCAAGGCAATCCCAAAATAGCGGAATATCCGAATCGCCAAGCTGGTCATCATGAACGCCAGAATTGAAATCCACCTCCGAATCCGACTCTGATTCGATTCCAACAACTCGTAGACCGCCCGTGCACGAATGCACACCACGAATAGATGAAGATTCATTCGATTGAGAGGCAAAAGCAAGTGTATCAAATTCGATGCGAGAACCAAACCCTAACCCTAGATCCTCCTCGTAGGTTGAATCATATTCACAATTTTCTCCGAAAACCCTAAAATTAGTATCCAAAAATGAATCCGAAACCGAACCTGAATCATCCGCTACGTGTTCTTCGCGAGATTCGAACAAGTCGGTGACGAAATCCATTTGGTCGTCGCCGTAAAAGCAATTGGGATCGGGAGCTGGATCCGAATAACCAGATTCAAAATCAGAATCAGAATCAGAATCGTAAGAATTGGAATTGTGTGGATGAGAGAAGGAGGGTACGAAGAAAGAGAGACTGGGAGAAGAGAGAGGATCGCAATTGAAGCCGAACGGTTCGTCGTCGTCGTCATCTTCGTTGTTGTTCTGAATGAAATCTAGGGTTTTTATGTGCGACTGTTGTTGTTGATGTTGTTCCGATTCTTGTTGTTGGACAACGATGGGACGATGAAAAACGTGAAGGTTAGAGACCTCCGCCATTTGAGGTTGATGGTTTGAAACTCTGAATGTAACTGAAACCTCATTCGACATTAGTGGGCGTGGTATATGTGTATGTGTGTGTGCCCTAATTTCGTAGGCCATTTTACAACCCTTCTTTTCGAGGAATATAGAGTTGTTCCCGGTTCCTTCGACGCCTTCTTTGGAATGTAACAGAGTTTTCAAGATCCTCTCCAATTGCTTAAGGTGAGTGGATTTTGTTCTGATGGTGGGTTGACCTTTAAAAAAATATTGAGTAAAGTTATTAGTATGTTTCACCAATAAAAAATGACTTGACAAAATAAAATAATATAATATATTTTTTTGCAAGAAAAATCCTTTTACCTATAAGAGGACTTGAACTCAAATAAAATTTTTTGATTGGAAGTGATTACCCTTATAAAAAAAAGGAGCACCATCATTTAATAAAAAAATTATTCTATAATCAGGTTTGTTAGATTTTTCATTGCAACAAACCAAATGACGTCGAATTCAAATAAACCTTAGTATAAATAATTAGTTTAAAATTGATGAATCCACCATTTTTTTCATTATTTACTAATTTCAGAGTACTATTTTATTTATTGACAAAGATAAATTTAAAAAATTACTCTTATCAATACAATAAAAAAAATATTAAGAACCTACCATCATAAAAAGTTATATTCCCAAAACACCAAAGAATTTTGGAATAGAAGGAGTAATGAACAATAAATCACGTGTCGTTTCTGGACCTAGAATTTGGGTCATAGGTAGAGCTGTAACTGAGCCGAGCCCGAGCCCAATTTTCAGGCTCGTTTAGTAAACGAGCCGAGCCCTGAACAACATTGGGCTGGGCTTGTATAGGCTCATGAATAAGGCTCGGGCTCGCTATATATATATATATAATAATAATAATAATAATATATATAGTAAGTGACACATTAAAAACTATGACTTAACAAGTTAGCATAGCTTGAACCCAAGACTTCATTATGAAAGAACGCTCTTACCAGGCTACCACTAATCAACTTTGTGTCTTTAAAGCACAACATTGATTAATATATACTAATATACATATACTAAATAGATTATCAAAGACAATTTTAACAGAATCAATAACTATACTACAATTTTTTTAATCATTATCGGTAGAAATGATAATTATTTTAAATTAATAATTTACATATCAAAAGCTAAACACCACACTAATAATGTCAAAAAAAATAATATTGGAGAATCATTATCATGTTGATCTAAAGCTAAACACCACAATTTTGTTTTTATTAAGTATGAATGGAAATCAGAATTGACTCTATAATCTTCAAAGACTCGTCGATTTAAGTATGAATGAAAAACAAAATTGAGCACAACTTGGATAGATATTTTATAATCTTTAAATTCAAATATTTATCTATATTATGTTATAAAATATTCAAAAATGAATTAAGTATGAATGGAAATCATAATTGACTCTATTATTTTCAAAGACTCGTCGATTTAAGTTTGAATGGAAATCAAAATTGAACACAACTTAGATAGATATTTTGTAATCTTTAAATTCAAATATTTATCAATATTATGTTATAAAATATTCAAATGTGAATTAAGTATGAATGGAAATCATAATTGACTCTATGATCTTCAAAAACTCATCGATTTAAGTATGAATGGAAATCAGAATTGAGCACTAACTTAGTCTACTTATTTAATTTTAATTAGCGCCTATATTAATTAACTGAAATAAACTTTTTTAATAATTCAAGTCAATAGAACTAATCCAAACAGATGACTTCACCATCCAGGAACACGCTCCTTGGTAACTTGGTGTGGTTAAGAAGGGGCTGAAACTCTAATATGATCTTTCGTTTTTTTTTTTTTGTGGAATGCTAATTAATTTTGAGAAATAATTTAAAAAAAAAAAAAAAAAATTAACGAGCCGAGCCCGAACTTTTAAAATTAAGACGAGCCCGAGCCCGAGCACAATTTTCTGAGCTCGTCACGAGCTGAGCCCGAGCCCGAGCAGACCCAGTAAACAAACGAGCCAAGCCTGAGCAGACCCAAGCTCGGCTCGGCTCGGTTTATTTGCAGCCCTAGTCATAGGCGGCCCAGTTTTGGCCGCTAGGCCTGATTTATTTTAGCTTCATGGCCCTCCTTTGGTCCAAGCCCATAAATTTGTAACAAACACTTTATCGTTGCCCCCACCGAACTTTTAACAATTTTTTTTTTGGTTCTCCCGAGCAAATTAGGGGAAAAGCCAAAAGGGTACTCAAACACGCGTACACTTATTAAAAACAATTGAGCGTTCTACCAATTAGGTCACCCGAGTAATGTCCACCAAACTTTAACTTAATATCTCTCATGTTCTAGAAAGAAAATTTGATTTTTTGGGATTACCTAGTGGCCTAGTTGGTAGAGTACCTAGCTACCCGAACAAGTGTGCCCGTGCTCGAATTCCCCTAATTTGTCAGGATATATTTAAAAAAAAAAAAAATTAATGGAATTAAAACAAAACAAACAAAAAAATTGGAAAAAAAAAAAGAAGAAGAAGAAGAAGAAAAAGTTAAGTGCTTCTCCAAATTTTAAGTTGTTGTGGAAACATTCAATAGCCATGTTACTGATTCTTTTTCTAAAAAAAAGTTAAATAATTAAATATGAATATAACAATTGCAGCATACTTAAATTATTCTTCTAACTTCCTTGTACTTTATTTATTTATGAGAAGACTATAAATAAATACCATTTAAAAAAAAAAAAAAAAAAAAAAAAAAGACGAAGAAGAAGAAGAAGAAGAAGAAGAAGAGAAAGTCTTTAATACCACATTTCAAATACTTTCAACAATTATTACTATTTTAGTTTAAAAAATCTATTAACATCATCATATACGCACTGAAAGATAATAATCTGAAACAAGACATTTTTAAAAGTTAGTTTTCAGAGAATAAATCTTTTTTAACTAATTTTTTTATTATTGTAGTTTTTTTAGGTTTTAAATAACACAAAACCATTGCCAAAATTATCAAAACTTCCTATGGGACAAAATTATCAAAATTATTGTGTTTTCAAGGAACGCAATCCAGCTAATGGGACAAATAGTGGGCCTATCTACAACTTCCTATGGGCTATTGTGCCGGCCCTTTTAAGACTTAGCCAATCCTCACAACCCACAATCCCGCTAATTGACAAATAACATGTGACAAGATTCAACCTATAGAAATCAACTTGATACCAACACTTTTGTAATTTAGCTTTGCCTCCAAGATTAAATACAAGTCTTAATCATTCCCATCTGTCCAAACATAGGCCACATTATTGACACAAGTGTTCTTCACCAATAAATCAAATTGCTTCCTCATCCATGATACACCACTAACCTTACATTTTACATTTTAAGTAAAATTATTGTTGAGAGCGACATATGTGAAAGATTTAAGAATTATAATTATTTATAAAAATTAACAATTTATTATGAATTATGATATTTGAATGGAGTAAATTGACCAAAATGACTAGAGTATTCTCATGCTGGATACAATGCTGGGTAATTCTAGTGTGTCCCAGAATTGCAGTCAACGTATGTTTATTAATTTGTCAGCGACTTTGACTGGGTCAATTCTGATAGAATAATATAGCTCTATATATTTATACTATTCTGAATTGTGGTGTTAATTAGTGCCGAGTAATAGTGACTGCAATTAGTGCAAACAGTTATTAATGATGACGCTTCTAAGCTGGCTTCAAAGCATTAGATTATTGCCTGTAATTAATGTGTTTATTTGTAATTAAGAAACAAATGATGGGAGGCTACTTTATACATAAAAGTGAACGCATTATTTATAGTTTGTCTTGACATTAATAATTCATCCTTGCAAGTTGGATGTGTACCATCTCTATTACACAATTATTTTTCTTCAATGTAAAGTTGGAACAAATTCACTTTTATTTTTAAGAAGGATTTGAACACATGACTCTGTACTTTAGAACGTGATAAATATATACTTCTTGTTTAAATTATGATACAAAATTTGATAATTGAACAATTTAACTAGTTTGGCGCAAGCGGGGTTGATATCATTCTATACTTTAAAACATGAGAAATATGATAAAATATATAATTTTTATTGCTTGTTTGAGACATGATACAAAATTCGACAAGTGAATAACTTTGATTAGTTTGATGTCCATTATCGCAACTCAACAATTATGGCATAATTCGGGATTGAATACATGACGTTAATTTCGAAATATGAGAAATATGATAAAGTATATAATTGTTTTAATACATGACGTCAATTCCGAATTATGCTATAATTATTGAGATGCGATAATGAACAGTGAAACAAAAGTGTGAGCACACCATAATAGTTTATATTCACGTCTTTCAATCGATTGTCATAACTTTATAATTTTAAAATTTTTAACTAGCTACATCACTGATCATTATGACTTATGTTCACGCTCACATCAAAACAATTAATGTCAGATTCTAGATGATTTTCTCTCTGTTTTCAATCTATATGATACTCCCTTCTTTTTTTATTTCTAACTACAGAAAAAAGATTTTTTTTTTTAAAAAATATTTCTTCATCCCGAAAAAACCATAGATATAACAGATAAAAAGAAGATGTTTCTTAATTAGTCATCTATGTAATAAATAAAGAAGTGAGACCCTTCACTTAATTATATTATGTATAAATAATTCATAAAAAATATTCTATTATGTGATTCAATACAATAAATAAATACAAGTCCCACTACTCATCAATTATTGACGTTGAAATCATATCAAAAAATTGTCAATATATTCCATTTGTAAGCAGTTATCATCACATAAATACAGATATATTATAAATAATAATATTCCCAAAGCACAAATAAAGAAATTAAATAATTTCAAATCTAGGTTTAAAGGCATAATATTTCTAAAACATAAAAAAAATTAATTTAAAATGTAGGCTTAAGAAGCGTAGTCGTTTCTTAGAATAGTGAAATGTCTTTTAGATGCAATCACAATTTCAATTGACGGCATTATTTTCGAAATTCGACAATATGTATGATTTAAAGGATTAGGACAAGATTCAATATTCAATAATTAAATCAAGATGTGATATTACAATATATAACAAGATACTTTTAAATTAATACGTAGTATTTTACGAATCATTCAAAACACATTTCGAGTCAAACAGAAACACTACGACACAATTAATTTGAATTAACGTAATTGCAAATAGGGTTAAGGGTTAAAAAAAAAAAAAAATCCTATAATATTAAGCCGTACCATTCTCTATTTGTTGTCACCGATGTTGCACTGTCGCAACAAATACGACTATAATTTTTCCTAATCCAATTAACGGTAACTATCGTTTCAACCAATTATCAAAACTCTAGCAGTTTAAACCGTATATGTATTTTTTCGCGTCTCTCTCTTTTCAATGTGTTCACGGAACCTCTGGTGGGAGAAGGTATAACCTAAATTTCATTTCTGGCAGCTTGAAAGGAAAAATCCATTGACAACGACTTCAATGGATGTCCTTCGTCTGTAATTAAAGTAGTAAGTCCTAAAATCATCATCGATTTGACCACGACAAGAACTACAATAATAATCGCTCCACGTGATGTTCGTGTCTCAGTCAAATCGTATATTACAAAACTGTAAGTATAATACGTACTCAAACACTACTTGAAGTTTTCTCTTTCTCGATATTATATATATATATTTAGGGAAATCTCCATAACTGAAATAATCTTTATGTTTTTATGATTTTTGGTTTATGATTCTTATTATGGTTCTGATTGAAATATTTTTTTCAGTCTATTATATCCATTGACTTCAAAGCCTCGATTGCGATCGTTTCACATTTCAGGTAGATCTGTCTATTTTCGTAGCTTTTACAAATTGGGTTTCCAGATTTTAGTTGTTTTGTGTTTTGCACGCCTTCTAATTTCATTCTTGAAAGCCTTGTTATTATCATAATATTTGTCGTTTATTGGTTATCTTGAAAGGATTCAATTGATTCGGAAGGTGTTTACTATCTGCATTTCCCAAAAATTTATTTACTTGAAATTTTAGGAAGTTTGAAATTTAGTCCAAAACTGTTTGCAGTTCAAATTGTTCGAAAATTTCAGGAAGTTTGAAATTTAGTCCAAAACTGTGCATCTGCAGGTTTCTAGGGTTTTTTTTTTTTTTTTTTTTGTGTGTGTGTGTTTTGAAGCTGATTCATAAGCATTTTTCTTTCCCTGTCATACAGATCTTGAATTAAATCTTCGAAGATTTAGCTGTTTCTCAGAAAACCCATAATCTTTACTTGAAGAGTTAAGTAGAAGATGACGATCGGAAGCCTTAAGCCAGCGAAAGAGAGGAACTCGCGCAAAAGCAAACAAGTTGTTGATGAGATAGTACCCCTCTTGCCCACCAAGCAAGAAGAAGATGTTGGGTTTGATGAGTTCAATGGGGCTTCCTTCACTGGGGCAGTGTTTAATTTGTCGACCACAATTGTTGGTGCCGGAATCATGGCCTTGCCCGCAACCATGAAAGTCTTGGGTCTTGTTCTTGGTATTGCCATGATCATCTTTATGGCATTCTTGACAGAGGCTTCAATTGATCTGTTACTTAGGTCCAGTAGAGCAGGGAAATCAGTTTCTTATGGAGGTGTTATGGGGGATGCCTTTGGAAAGTATGGCAGGATTTTGCTGCAGATATGTGTTTTAATCAACAACATTGGTGTGCTCATAGTATATATGATTATTATAGGTATGAAACATCCATTAGATAGATTTATTTTCATGTGAATTGTGATTTTTTTTTTTTTCTTTCTGAAGGACACTGTCAACTTATTAAATTTAGAAAAAATCTACTAATTTTATATATTTACAGCACTACATAGTTTTTATTAAAAAAATAATAATTCATGATTATTTTGAAGGTGATGTGCTTTCTGGAACAACTTCTAGTGGAATTCACCATGCTGGTGTCCTGGAAGGGTGGTTTGGAGAGTGCTGGTGGAATGGACGTACCTTTGTTCTTCTTGTTACAACTCTTGCTGTATTCACTCCATTGGCATCCTTAAAGCGTATCGGTCAGTCTTGCTTTGATTTGCCAATGATTAGCAAACTTGTACTAGTTAAAATAGCTTCTTCATTAGCTGCTTTCTTGTTCATCTGCGTATTTATTTTAATTCTAATTAACTACCAAATACTAAACATTAGTAAAATAGCTTCTAAATTAGCTGCTTTCTTATTCATTTGCATAATTATTTTAATTCTAACTAACTACCAAACGCTAAACATTAGTAGGTTTAAGTAACATCAGATGCTCAGTTATGATTCCATATGTTTCAATATCTTGGTTGTTAAAGTTTCTTGGAAATATATAATTCTAGCCTGATAGTTTTTTATTTTATTTTATTTTTGTAAGCAACTACTTGGCTACCTCTGACTTCTATTTGATGTCTGAAGCTGGATTTTTGAGTAACATAAGTAATCATGGGAGTTTATTATTTTTTATCTAGTTTCAATGACCTCAGCAGGTTAAAATATTTAAAAATTATTTCTTTTCTCATTTTAATGATTGAAGTTATATTCATGAGCTCTGTTTGATAATTAGTTAACCCGACATTGAGCAGAAAGAGAAAACTTTCATTTTCTATACAATTAAATTTTTTTTTTTTAGGGTTTGCTTGTCAACTGTCAATGAAGCATTTCCAAATTAGGTTGTTTAATTCCTAACTGTTATAATAGACTAATTTCATTGCACGGCTACCTTTGCTTGACTCTATGACGTGGTGATCATTCATATATGCCTTCTGTTTTGGGTGCAGATTCATTGAGATTCACATCTGCCTTATCAGTTGCGCTGGCTGTTGTGTTCCTTGTTATCACAGTGGGAATCACATTTATTAAGTTGATAAATGGAAGCATCTTGATGCCCAGATTGCTTCCTGATGTCAGTGATTTAGCATCTTTCTGGAAACTCTTTACTGTAGTCCCTGTTCTTGTCACCGCGTACATCTGCCACTACAATGGTATACAAGACGATTATTTATTTATATGATTGTTTATGTGCAAGTATCTTGTTTTTAACTGGCTGATTTTGGGACGATGAAATTGACAGAAAATAGTATGACTTATTCAATACCCAAAGAGTGAGGTTGTAGAGACCTACTTACCAATTAGGTTAAATTCCAGTAACCTGAATTTGATTCTGTTATATATGGTTGGGCTTGTGCATGTGATCTGATCCACATGAAATTTAAATATCTTTGTTTCTTGGACTTCCAATTGATGCTTTTCAGATCGAAGTTTGTTTTAGATTGACCAAATTAATGAATTTATGCTTATGCAGTATGCGATGCAACTGATTGTTTAATCAACTTAAACTAATCCTATCAGGCTGAAATAAAGGTTGTCACCAAACTTTTTGATTGACTTCACAGTAAAATAAGTTGAACGAATGTTGTGAGTTTACTCAGGGTTGGCAATAATAAAATTAAAAAGAATGGATTCATAGTTTTCTGACAGTTGAGATTATAAATTTTGTTTTTTAAATGCCTGGTTTGGTGGCACAAATCAACTAAAGCATTTTGACCTCAATCCTAAGTAATGTAGATTCATCTTTTAGTTGAAGTGCTAAAAATACCATAATCCTGACCTTTTAGGGAACATCAAAATCTTGTTGTTCACTCAATACAATTAGCTTGAGGCCTTGAAGACACTACAGAAATAAAGGCTGTTTTGCGAGCATCACTTGCTCTCTGCTCGTCTATATAAGTTTTTTTTAAATTGAAAATGCTAAGGCTTGGTTTGGTTAAATAGAAAGTAGAAAGTGAGGGAAATGGAAAACTTCTTCAAAATTTAAGGACATTGGATAGCAAGGAAAAGGAAAATATTGAGAGAGTAACTTTACTTAAGTTTCCCAAAAGGTTCGCTATTTTGAAAAAACACAGGAAAAATTTACTTTCTTGGGGAAGTTATGAAAAATGTTTGAACTTACAATTATGCCCTTTCTTTTTTATCTCTCTAGGTTTATGCATAATATTTTACAAGAATGGTAAAATTACTTGATATAAAAAAATATTGAATTACTCATTTTTTAAAAAGTCTAAAAAATATTGAATTGAGACAATCCATTTAGATTTGTTATTCTATTTTATATAAATGAGGACAAGGAATTTTTCGACACTTTCTTACTAAATTTTTACAAAAATGTTTGAACTTACAATTATGTTCCTTTCTGTACTTCACTTTCTATTATTTTCACTTTCTAGTATTTTTTTCCTTTTAACCAAATGTGGCTTAAAATATCAGGAGCCTGACCTGTCTGGGAACATGAAAATTTTGCAGTTCATACAATAGACAATGAACTTGAAGACACTATGCAAATAAAGGCTGTTGTTCAAACTTCACTTGCTCTCTGCTCATCTGTATATGTTTTGACAAGCCTTTTTGGGTTCCTTCTATTTGGTGATGCAACTCTTGATGACGTTCTTGCAAACTTTGACACTGACCTTAGCATTCCATTTGGCTCCCTGCTTAATGATGTTGTTCGCGTGAGCTATGCTGCCCACCTCATGCTTGTCTTTCCTATTGTTTTCTATCCATTGCGGCTGAACATGGATGGCCTCCTCTTTCCGACTTCAAGGCCTTTGGCTTTGGACAACTTGAGGTTTGCATTGCTTAGCGTTGGGCTCATTACTCTCATCTTTTTGGGTGCAAATTTCATACCCAGTATCTGGGATGCCTTCCAATTTACTGGAGCAACTGCTGCAGTTTGCCTTGGATTCATCTTTCCTGCTGCAATTACTCTCAAGTAAGTTGTTTTCTGGAGTAGCAGGAAGTTTAGTTATCATTACGTTTTCAAGTAGGAAATTCAGAGCGTGTCATTTGCAAAAAAAAAAAAAAATAGTGATTTAGGCTCGGTTTTCATGGTTAGAAATGATAATGGCTCTCTAAACAGTAAGAGAAAATTTATCTTTTTTGATCCAGTACTGGGCTAACAACAGGGGCAATAATAAAATTAATGTCCAGAAATGATATATTGGCAGGTGATATCCTGTTATTTTCCTTTCAGGGAATATATGCAAAATGCCTTTATTTAGTTGCCTTCTTTTCATGTAAAAAGAAATATTTTTTTCTAGAGATTCTCTGCCTTTGTTGTTTAGAGCAAATGAACAGCTGGATTTCTTTTCTGAATGTAATGAATAGAGGTACTATGGAGAAGAGAACGGCTTCTACAACTGCTGTTTCATGAGCAAGTTACACAGACTCACAGAGGCTTTCTTTCTTTTCTTTCATTTTATTTTTCTGTTTTTTAGGTTCTCTCTTCAAAATACAAAAATAAGAAAAGGACTTGCCATTCAACACGTTGCAATTTCAGGGAGGAAATATTAATATTGGAATTATAATCATGTATAAGAATTTTTAAGGTTTTGTCACCTTCTTGGAAAAGGATTATAGATTTTTTTCAATTTTTTTTTTTTTTTTTTTTCCTTGTGTTGTTGGGGCTGAGGGTGGAGTGGGGGGCAATAGCAGGAAGGGTTGTAAAAGATGTGAGAAATATGGTTTCTTCGTGTTGGAGAAAAACTTTGTGAACAATTGCTGTGCTAATATTGATAAATGTACTTTGACTGTATTGACAGTCATTGGAAAATTATAGCTATTGTTGTATCCAGAATTTGTTTTATTACTTATAGTAATATATGCTAAATTGATTTCCTGTGGTGTTTCAGGAATCGTCATGGGGTAGCAACAAAGAAAGACAAGATGTTATGTGTTTTCATGATTGTCCTTGCGGTTGTCTCAAACCTGGTAGCCATATATAGTGATGCTTATGCCTTGTTCAAGAAGAATGATGCATCACCACTTGAATGATCTCTCCTGTTACTGTTACAAACCAATGGACCAGGAGTTTAGCCACATTTACTGCTGTTAAGACACCGAAAATACAGAATGATCGGGAATGAATTACAAAATCAGGGTTTCCACAAGGACCAGGACTGATGAGCACAATTTCTGTGAGGCAAACTCTGCTAATACATGATATGAAGTTGCATAGGTAGAATTGTATTAAGGCTGTGTGTCCATTCTGGATTATGTACTCTCTCCCCTGTGCATATTGTATTACCCATTGTGGTTAATATTGGATGTTGTTGTGTGGACTGTGGATTGAAATTACAGAAATACTAGTGCATATCTTGAAACTGTCATGTTTTTCTCCTACTCTTTAGTAACGGTCTTTGTTGATGTGAGGTTTCATGAAAATATCACGTGCAAAATTTCCCGACGAGCTCGTGTAAGTTGGAAGTATAGTAGTCTTCACCATTTTTTAGCAGTAGAACGTCATTTCCTTCTACTGTAATTAATTCTTTAGCACGGATATCTTTCAACTGCAAAATTTCCCAATGAGCTCATGTAAGTTGGAAATTGGGTGATCTTGACCAATTTTTAACAATGGAACGTCATTTTCCTTCATTTCCTTCCACTGTTATTAATTCTTTAGCACGGGTATCTTTCTTTGACAGGTCGATCAGAACAGTTTATACACCATTCTGTAAAGGGGACGAAGATACATGCTTCTTCATTTGCATGTTTTACACGGTTACTTGTAGTACACTTGCCGGTGGGATCTGCAGCAGGTACAGGAAACAAACTACACCACCCCCACTCCAAAGGGATTGTTTTTATCCTTCAGCTGTTCTGCTTGGAGAGAAGTTGTAGAAGGTTGGAGTTAGGTTTTCATTTGTGTTTTTTCTTATCTTTGAATTCTTTTTTTTTTTACGTATTTTCTAATAATGCTCAATGAAAAATTAAATTTGATGAGACCCTGCGAGGCGCGAACCTTTTCTATTTGCCATCTTATAATATCATGTCATATGCTGATGTGAGTTCCCACAAAATCATCAGATGAGCATAGATGTAACGAATTTTGTAATTAATAATAACCCATGAATGAATTACAGTAAAACCCGTGCAAGTGAGTTTTGTAGTTAAGTTGGATTCTCAGTCCCATTGTTGCTATCTGGAGCTATCCTTATGGCGAGCATTTTACAAATTATAATAAAATTATTTGCAGATTAAAGGGACATTGTTCCAGATGACAAGTGAATGTGATCCTTTTTTTTCTTTTTCTTTTTTTTTTTTTTGCAGCTTACAACAATACTAGAAATTGCTTATATAACGAAGCGATTAATTAACTAGAAAGCATAAACACTACTAGAAATTGCACATATAACGAAGCGATTAATTAACTAGAAAGCATACACACTACAGTATATTGACTTTCCATGGGTAGGATGCATTCCAAAGACTAACTACAAAGCAGCGTATTATACAAATTAACAAAATACTGCTATTCTAAGATGCCTATTTGCAAAACCAGCTTCTCAGACTTCTGTCATTCCATCTACCAACATATGTGCAAGACAATCTAGAAGGATATGTTATGTGTTTCCAATACTGGTCACAAAAGGCACCAGCCTTCTGTAATCTCTCCTCCTCCCAAGTGCACAGTTATCGAGCACACGACCAAGTATCAGACGGGTATTCTGTAAAGCCAATTCTCTAGGTGACATTCCCGAATCAGTTGTGCTGCCTTGTGCAGTCGGTGTGGAACCTGCCCCAAACCCTGATCCCATTGCATACTGTAAAGGACCACTTCGAGCCTTGAATGAAGTCTGAGGAGCAAGCATCTTGTCATCTGCCCCACCAAGTCCGTTCTCAAATGCCCCAGGATCATGTGGCTGGGACCCTGTCAAGGAGCTACAGCTCTGTAAAAGGGCTTCCAATACGCTAAGTGCCTCCCAACACAAAGTGCTCTCCACCAACTGTGACACAATTGCGTACATATGGGGACTCTGAGCAGCATCCATAGGAGTATGCTGGAGCAATGCCTTAAGCATGAGAAGTATCACGCGTTGATATTCAGATGGTCCTTTCTCAAGAAACCGTAGCAGGTGTCCAAAAGCAAGAGCTGAGTGCTTTGGGAACCACTCGTTGGATAATAGTGGGGAGACGCAAGCCAGTAGGTTGCCTACACTCTTTATCTCACCACAGGAGTAAGCCACAAATACAGTCGCTAGTTCATCTAACGATTTTGCACGGCACCAAATTGCGAGGTTGGCCGCAACAGAGCAAGCCTTTTGATACTGCTGTTGGAGTGGTGAAGCCCCACCAACTGATTCTTGGCTAAGCTGTAAGCAGAGCCAGGGAAGTAAGCCTGTGATGTGCATCAACAGACGTGTTTCCGCATCCCCAAAGATTGAATCACAAGAGTGCACTGTGATCTGTGAGAGAACCTCAATAGAGACACCGTGACTAGCAATTGACATCAGCCCTTTAAGGACAAGAGGCTGCACTCCTTCAAAAGCAGGAACTTTCCCACTGGATGGTGATGGCTCGCACATCCTTGATTCCATGCGTTGAAACTCAGCACTGTCACAGACACTCGTGTCAAGCTCATCCCGGGGCATGCTTGAGAGGAGCACGTTCTCTGTTGTTCTGTCCAGGAATGATAAACGGTCAATCACGCGAGAAAAGAGCTCAAGCACCTGACAATAAACATGAACGAAGTCTGTGTGCATCATGGCTACGCATCCCCAGAAAAGCTGGGGATAAAGAATCACCTTTTCTGGCTCCATATTCTCTACCATCACTTGCAATGTCAACAGAATTTCCATAATAAAACCTAAAACTGCAGGTACTGGATTTCCAAGGCATCTGTGGAGGCATCGGAGGAGTGATACACATGCATCACTCGTTACATGGGGCCGCAATGCACGATAAATCTGGTGCGAGCGGCAGGCAAGGTGTCTCGATGTGCACTCCATAGCCCATTTGAGTGCCTCAGCACCCCAAGTTTCCCGGAGATCTCCTTGGAAAAATATCGCATCCACCATACTCTGAACAAGGGCAGATAAAAGTGCTGCACTTGGCAGCTCAGTTCTAACAACTGTGGGGTCTTCATTCTCCCACATCATGCTCCCTCGCTTTGATTGGACATAGTTGATAAGGCTCACAACCTGCTGTTTGTTCTCCCCGTCACTGTTTTCCACCTCATACAACTCCAAGTGACGACCTGCAAGTGAATATAACAGATTAACAAGCAGGTGCTGGCAATGCTCCAGCACGATATCTTCCGAACTGTCCATTGAGACAAATGTGACATGAAAAAGTAAAGGTAAATGCTCCCGAAAATCCTCATCATTTTCATATGCAATTTCTGCAAGTAGAATTAATGCTATGTCTGCATGAGTGAGTGAGTGTTGCTGATGCCCTTGTAGGGCTGATTGAAGTTCTTTAGCACTAACACCATGCATTCCAACCCCAGAATGCAAACCATCTTCCCCTGAGTTTGGAGTGTCAATGAGGTAATCCCCACTGTCTCGAGAGACATGGCGACTACGCAAGCTCCCTGTTGAACTGCGGACACCCATTAATGGCCCAGACATGTTTACCATAGCTGGAAGGAGCTGGCCCGACCGGCCAGCAGCTACAGGAACAATGTTCAACTCAGGAGGCATTGGGCTCAATGGCCCTGAGGCACTTCGGCCGCCAACAGCCGCTGTTCTCCAGCTCAAGCTCCCACTGCTGTTCCTGAGCGGACCATCAAGGGAACCTCGTACAAGTAGCGGCGACATGTGAGGCTGGCTGTCAACAACAGAAGCAATTTGGGCCGCATTAGGGCCCTGAGAGAATTCCAAAATATTTCCACCTGCATCACCCTTATTTGAACTTGGCCTCAATGGTTCCACACTATCCTCAAGCATCCTCTGAGCCAATTGGTAAACCAGGTGATCAATTGTACGTTGCGGACAAATCCTAGCTAAATATAAACTTACCCTTTTTGCAACTGAAAAGTATGTAGCAAAAGCACCACTTATTTCTGCAGATGCATTTGAATCACAATCTTCAATCCCTTTTGTGATCAAGAAATCCAAAACGGGACTAATATTCCTAGGTTTGCTAGCGATTGTGCTCCAAAGCTTCTCAATTTCATCAGGGAACTGGTCACCATGTCGCCATGTCACATAGTAAAGGCTTTTCAATAATCTCTCACTCCAACCTGAATCCTTGAGTTTCCAGAAATTAAGATTCTCAATCCATGGAGCCATGCATGTTAGAACCTGATGCTGAGCAATTATATCAACAGCATCAAGTTGCCTCTGCATGATCTCTTCACAAAGGAGCTGGCTCAGCTCAGGATGATCTTTGGCAAGTTTGGATGAGAGCTTGTACTGGAACTGTTGGTAGGAATCAGGGAGGTTGCCAACAACAGCAGCTCGATAACTTCCTGAACCCTCAATGCCATCCTCAGCCCATTCACGGACAGAGAGAGTCTCAAGCATCTGAAGAGCATCATCACGGATTTGTCTCGATGGGTCCACCACCTTGTACAGGATTAGACTCAACAATCTCTGAATTTCACATTTCGGAATCTCTTGGCGCATGTAGACTTCAGCTAGTACACTAAAGTAGCCATCGGCGATAGCAGCATCAGAGTAGTAGCACTGAACAAAAATATGAAGTTGATTAGTCCTATGAATCTATTATAAAACGAATGATACAAAATATTAGTGAGCAAAGTATTGGCAACCATGCTGGTTCCTCGCATCTCAATGCATCTACTTGGTGGTGGTGTTCACAGGGCCAACTCAAGAGTTCAAGTGTGTAATTAAACAAAAAATGAAACATTAAAGGACAACTAAATTCTTTTTGCGTTTCTGGTACAAGTGATGGACTTGTGAACCTAAGAGTTGTGAGCTTACACCCTTCTCACTACCACTCTTAATTGGGTTAGTAAAATATTGTTGTCAGTTCCAGTTGGGATATGGCATATATAGAATCACCACATCAAGTAGACGGTCTCAGACTATGAATATCAATGGGGACAGCGTGCACCTCCAAGAATCAGCTCATCAACTAAAATGATCTTGAACTATACTGTTTCGGATGTGATACACAATTAGAGGACAAAAATATTACCTGATCAATGCAGGAAGGAAATAGGTCCAAATTTGTACGAAGAAGATTTTTCAAAGCTATTTTTGCAAGGGAAACACGAAGGTGGCCACCTTTATGCCTATCACGTCCAGTTCCACGTCCACCTTCTCCTGTGTATTTGGAGTAAGAAGGAGTTCTTGGATCAGCTGGAGAATAACCAAATGGAGCCCTAGGTGCAGGCTCGATGAATAAACTGTTAATCCAAGATATTACTCGACCACTCATTTTTCTTGCATTGTCATCAAAGCAAGGCCCATATAACAAAGAAGCCATAGCATTCACAGCTGCCCACTGAATTGCCTCAACTTGTTCACTCACTTCTTTATCAAATGAAAGTTTGTCAATAGAATCTTTTGACCGACTGTGCTGAGTGGACTTGTAACGTTCGACTTCACGTCGGTAATCGCTTACACCATCCTGATTCCAAGTACTGCCAGTGTCATCTGACCAGGACAAAAGAAGATCAAACAGTCTCTTTCTAGTTCTAAGATCAAATTTCTCTGATTTAGATTCAACAAATTCAGGGGCCAGTGATCTAAGAACAGAAGCAAGTGCATAACGGAGCGGTTGCATTTCTTGAAAGCTCTCAGCTGGCGCTGTTAAGATCTGCCTGGTTGTTTCTTCAATAAACTTCAAATAATGAAGGCGGAAAACTGGTTTACGGCCTAGCATGCCAGGCCAGATATTTTCAGCAACGGTACGGTATATAGTTGCAATGTGTATCCGGAGTTCTTCACGACGAGCCCTTTGACTCTGTATCCATCAAAGCGACATATTTTGTAAGTCTATTGACTGGAACGCAAAATTTAAAATAAAAAAATAAAAAGCAATTTAAATAATCATCAAAGCAAGAAATTTTTCTTTTTTTTTTTTTTTTTTTTTTAACAATAGAAATCTACGATATCATGCCAACCAAAAAAAATTATGTACTATTTGATTATGGTAACATAAAATAGCATATAATCCCATAACTAGGTTCGAATGAACAATGTAAGGACAATTTAGAAACCGACAGTTTCTTTTCTCATTTTCTAAGAGCTGCCTATCATTGGATTTTGTTACGACAAACGCAAAGAACCCAAGAATAAATCAAGAAACACAACAAAAAAGTAATCACACCACACACAAAGATTTAGCGTGGTTCGGCAAAGGCTACATCCACGGTGGAGATCCAGCGAAAAATAGAAGATTACAAGTTTCAGCCCCCCTCTCTCTCTCTCTGCAATTTTCAGTGCCTCAATCCAAACTTTAAGCACCCTTATATATCGGGATACAAGAGAGTACTAATTAGAGTCCACAACCCACAAGCAAATACAGGTCAAAAGCATCACAGATTCGTCGGGTCGTAAACGGGTCACAAAACTCATCCATCGGGTCGTCCGCAAAGCTCATCCAACGGGTTGTAAATGGACCGCAACACGACTTGACACCAAATTCGGGCCACAACATCACAGATTTCATAGACTCTGGAGGTGTAAAATAGGGGAATTCTGTATAACAAATCAAGTGATATTCAATTGATCTTTTCAACTGGTATCCCAATGTGAGACAAGACATTGCACACTGACATCTCAAGTTGAACCTCAAATACCATGGACATATAGTTTACTAGAGCCAGTCTGGACAATCCCAGTCAAGGAACTGGCTCAACGGGTCATTGGTTCCGCCACCACCAGGTCAATTGGTTGAACCAGGGTATCATGAAATATTATTTTCTAATGATACTTACAAAAAATAATAAATGTTAAGGAAGTAGCATAATTGCTACTCCCTCTGTCCCAAAATACATGTCCTGTATGGGGAATCTAACTTTTTATGGTAGTGAAGTTTTAATAGTTTTTTATTATATTGATAAGAGTGAAGTTTCAAATATGCCCTTATTAAAAGACAAAATAGTGCTCCGTAATTAGTGCACTTGTTTATTTAAAAGAATGGTTTGGGAATGTTACATCCCAAAATAGAAATATGAACAAGTATTTTGGGATGGAGGGAGTATTATTCATATTTATTCAAATTTAATAAGGAAACTTTGAAATTTAAATTCAAAGAAGAGAGTTTGTGGTTGCAAATGTATGTATCAATACATAACATGCAATTATGTACTATACAATACATCTGCATATGGGATGACCAGTTTGCCACATACACAACATGCATTTGACGGAGGTCCTGCACACATGTTATATCTAGGGAACTCATTATAATATGCTCACCCAGGAGTTACTTTTTCCAGTTCATGATTACAGGAATCACCAAGGGCACTACTACATGGCTAGATGCTCATTATTAAGTTACAAAGGACACTATGGTAAAGGAAAAAAACCTAGTAGGCTACCTTCCCTCCCCCTCCCCGTGGCTGCCCAAACTGCCCAGGGGTGGGGGGAGGAAACCAAAAAAGAAACAAAAAGCATAGACAAAGAGGGGACTTTTACGCATTAAATCATCAACAGTACCTTCCACTTTGGTTTCTCGGTTTCCTGAGAAACCTCATCAATGAAAGATGCAAGCTCGCCAAACATAATTTCACATATTTCCAGATGTGAGCGGCCAAGAGCCATGGTGGCATGTAGCTGAAAAGAAAAGAAAATAAACCAACTTAAAAATTGAGTAACTATTCTAGAAGCAAAGTATACTTCTCTCTCTTCTTTTTTCACTTACAATACTCGTACTGAAAAGAAAAGTATTGAAAAAAAAACAAGAGATGCCTGCAATTTCATTTTAATCCTAGCACATGTCAAAGCAACTCCATACCCATCCCACTTCCCTCAGTGCAGGCACAACATGATTGACATTTGGCACTGCATTATTATTCCCTGTTGTCTACAAATTCCCTCAACAAGAGAACAATATAGTAGAGCAGGTTATCAGTACATGTTACCTAGTGTATTCCATTCAGAAACATGCATAAAGAGAGATACTGACCATGTACATTAGTACTGCCAGACTACATATTTTGATCCATATGATACACTCATGCTTCTTGCCTATGTAAAATTAAAGTGATGCTATTAGCCATGCCAATAGATGTCAATAGAATATCATTAGATAATATAAATAAATGGTTTAACAAATGGTTAAGAAAAAAAAAAAGTTTCCAGGTCATCCTTGGTAGACCTGGGGAACCGATTGCCAGCAGCAAGGTATTTGTGTGGTACACCTCAACAAACATTAAATTATTCTCCTCAGCAATTTCCACTATGATGTTAGTCAATAAACTCCTCGCCAAATGATCCAGATTACATAAAGAATTGCTCATAAGCAGAATTACCTCATCAATACAATAGAATTATTATGAATAGTAGAACCATAGGATAACTATAAAAGTTGCAGCGTCTTACTTCAGTTCCTGTGTGTGTGTCATTGGAGTAATATCCTGCCTCTTGTGCTTCCTTAACAATGTGACCAGCATATTCTAAATTGATGGTTATTGAAACAACCAACAATAAAACTTCAATTTGATGGATTATGTGCTGCTTTTTCTTCTTCCTCTTTTCTTTTCATCCTTTATTTTTTATTTTGGGTAAATCCCACCTACCTCCCCTAAGGTTCTGGTTTATGTAACAGATTCCCCCCGCCATTAGGCACTTGACGGAGACAAACAGAATCTGTTAATGTTAGCAGCAGAAAATTGATATAAGGTTAGTTTTGCCCTTCTAATGCCTGAAATGACAGCAAACATTTCATGGGTGTTGAAAGAAAAATAGAAGTTGAAAAGAGAAATTAAAACATGAAGAACACAAGAAATTGTTACATCCACGACACACAAAGCCCAAAGGGCTACATCTCTTTCATTACATTCTCTCTTAATTATGTTTACAATAACCACCTCTATGTATAGGTGAATTAGGGAAGACTTGTAGCTAGATAATAGAAATTGTTATGACAAACGCAGCGAACCCAAGATAGAATCAAGAATCACGACAGAAAAGTAAACACACCACACAAAGAACACAAAGATTTATACGTGGCTCGGCAACAGCCTAAATCCACGGTGGAAATCTAGCTAAAGTCTTCACTATGTGTAAAGTCGGAGATTACAAGTTTTCAATCTCTCTCTCTTACACCACTCCAAACCCTAAGTACCCTTATATATCAGGCCACAAGAGACTAATTAGGGTCCACGACCCATGAGCAAAAACCGGGCCCACATAAAGCTCATCCAAAGGGTCGTCAGGTCATGAGCGGCGACCCGGCACCCAATTCGGGCCACAACATCACAAAATTTTCTTACTCTACAAGTATTTTATAATAAAAGAATTACACAAAAAGTCAAATACTAATATGGCAACAACTTGTTGCCCAAGTATAGCAATGTTAACATTCCGTCAATGAGTGATTGATTTAGAGGTTCCTATAATAATATTCTCCAACAATGGGGAAAACGGTAAAATAACCTACTAACGTTATCAAGTTGGACAGTCGTCGCTAACAGGGGAGGTAAGTGGGCATTATGAAACGTAGAGGGGGTCTATGTGGGATATTGACAAACCTCAGGAGAGGTAAGTGGAATTTACCCTTTTTACTTTTGGGTTGGAGGGGGGTGTTGCAAGGGATGTGGAAACAAGCAGAATCATGACTTCATTAAGAGAACCTTGTTCATTAACATTCATATTGGCAGATCATTAACCAAGATCAGACAACATAATTTTTCTGACTGAAAAGAGAGAAGTAAATTAAATATATAATAACCTAATTCTGCCGATCCTTAGACCAAATAGCATGCAGAAACTACCTCTTCCCTTCCATATACTACATTGTTCCGTCAGAAAAGAGAGGTCAATAACATTCTCCGAATTATATCATGCATTCATTGTTTCTGACTACAAAGATTCATGTTGGTGTGCACTTACTATATGTGATTCTGATCCAGATTTTAGAGAGGGGAAAATTAGACGGAAAAGGTCTCTGGTTGTTGCTGAACCAACAGCTTCCCTAGTATCTGGTGGACATGAGCATGCAAACATTGCATACATGAGCCACTGATCTAGTTTGTTGTCTGCATCTTGTGATTGATGAGCCTTTCCACCCAACTCAATGGGCGTTATATGAGCAAGACGCTGCACAACCTCTAACCTGAAACAAGGGATAATCCATGATGATATATCAGGATCTATAATTTTAAAAATATTTAATCCTTAAATTTTGGATCAGAAACTAGGCAAGCACATTACTGAAGGAGCACAAAAGGAAATAGCCACATAACTAAAAGAAAGTTCATGCCTTCTGCATTATTAACTATTACCAGTTCCTCACAAGATTCTGAACCATTCATGAGAAAACAGTAACTTACAAGTTAACTGATAACTAACAACACTGGTTTTTTGTTGCAGATATTTAAGGAAATTTGGGGAGAGATTCATTTAGTTGAACCACTAGCATCTTAGAGGGAGGGAAGGGTTAGGAAAAAAAAAAAAGAAAAAGGAAGAAAAAGAGGAGTCTTTGTTGTATAAGCAATTCAATGATGATGTGAACAGAATCAGCATTCGGCAAAACATGAGTGACATAAACACATTTGTAAAACTTACTTTGCTTCATGAACAGAGTTTGGGCAAAGCTCAGCAGCGTATTTGACAAGCTCGCTAAGACATCGAGCCCATCTGTTCTTATCAGGATTCTCAAATAGAATGGACTGAAGTGTCACATCTGGAGGAACTGCATCAGATTCTCTTCTCAAATCAAATGAACGGCCAGGTTCCCAATAGCAGCTCTGAACAATATCATCCTGTAAAACTCATTGGCTCAAGTTTGAGACAAGGTAAAATATATCATAAAAAGCGATTATTTTCTTTACTGGAGAGGGGGGTGTTGTTTAAGAAGATGAAAGTATAACCTACCCCATTCTCTTCTAAAACATCAATTATAAATATTGGCTCAGCTTCAGTTCTTAAAATGCGATCTGACTGCTCATGACTAGAAAGGTCCCGTATATCATTTCTTAAAGCACGAACACATCGCAGTAACTCCAACGCTGTATGCCTGATCTGATTATCCACAGAACTAAGAAAGATAAGACCAACCGCATCTATCTCTGATGCACGAAACTCAAGCGCTTCCCCAGCCTGATGGAAAGAAGACTTCTTAACTCCCTCTTTTCTCTGCACAAGCTTTGCTTCTTGAGCATCAACTTCTAGCCTATCATCAGATAGACAAGCTTTCCAGAAACGCATGAGGTCCAACAGGCGTCCTAATGACGTTTGTATGAGAAGAGGGAATTCATCAGGAAGCCGTAAGATGAAGTTGGCCATCCCCCTCATAACTGCAAAGCGGCGATGAGGAAGGTCTCTCACAATCCGATTCAATACCTGTACTGCTTCCTCACGAACACCAGGATCAATGCTTATGCCATGTTGGGGTATTATTTCAGTGATTTTATCACTTCGGCCAACTTCCTCAATCAGATAAGGTATGCACTTCAACACTGATCGGAAAAGATATCCATGAGACTTTTCCTTGGTTACAGCATCTGGAGAGGCATTTGTTCATTTAGTAATGTGTCATCCCAGAAACAAAAAGAGGACAATTAGGACACAAATAACAAAGAATATAAAAAGAAAAGAGGACAAAGTTGATAGGCAGGAAGACGTTGGTAAATGATACAACAGTTACCGTCCTACGTGCTGAGTATCAGTGTGTTAACTGTATGGTCATTGGTGAATAAAATGAAAGAGTGACAATATCCCATCTCTGCAAATAGTTCATGGCTGACTACTCCATTATTATTCATTTTTTATTTTTATTTTATTTTGGCCAGAAGGAAACCAGAAACAGACTACTGTTATAAATGCCTTTATCTTTCATAAAAGTCCAAGCGTCACCGGTTCAGGAGGTGATTGTCTGTCAGCCAAGCAAAGAATAAAATGGTGAACCCTGCTCATGGAAGAACTGATTGTATTTATGTGGATACCTTAACATTGAAACAAACATTGGAAACAAAGCTTTGGACACTGTACTCAATAGTTTTGGGACATTTTTTAGATCAATTGATACAATTTGGAGTCGATTTGATTGTTTTAAAAATTTAGGAAAAATGAATCTTCATGAAAATAGCATATATTTTATTAGGAGATGATGACTTTCTCTTTGCATTTTTAAGCTCAGACTTGAGAAGATTATATCTTTAGCTAAGATGATTCGGGACAGTCTATTGGTCAAAATTTGGCAATCAAACAGAGAAAAGACTTAGTAAGCCAATATAATCGCTGGAAATTGCAAAGCAACCTCTGAAACCCCAATTGGGCAAACCAGAAAGCCATAAAAGAGACTTAAGTAGCATTAACATAGTGGCCAAAATATGCACATGTGGAGTGTAACCCCAATAACAGGTTAAGGGAAAAGTATAAGACACCCCACAGAAATTGGATTAATCAATATAAAGTCCGGGTTGTAACTAAAAGAGGACGTTAGGTATATGTGGCATGTGTTTGCAAATTTCTTCTCAGAACTAATGTGATAATGTGTCAATGAATCGTGAGTCATTCGAGGACATCTCTTGCAGACATAGAATTGTGAACACGGCAGAAAACTTACATCCTCAATCACATATCCAGGGCACAAATAAATTGACCTTAGAAAGACCTTATGTGACCAATTTTTATCTTGGTTGGGCTCATAAATATGTTTTGAAAGTGCTTTTGAAAATCGGTTTTGCAAAAAATTTCTATATATTTCTCAAAACTGTTTTTTAAACTGGAAAACAATGTGCATAGATCTACTGAGAGGCTTCCAAAGACATCGATCTAATGGTCGATGGATCGAGATGTTCCAGGAAATATATGATTCAGAACCAGAATGAATTGATGGAAGTACTGATCAATCGAAGTCCTACGGTTTTATCAAAGGAAGATGCAGAAAAATACCCAAATAAGCAGAATACATGCAAGTATGCACGTAGACCAAATGGCCAATAGAGTCCATTTCCCACAAGTAGAAAACAAACATCCTCCACAAAACAAGGAAATCTCCCTCAAAAAGTGGCAAGGATTTATACAAGAGAAAAGAGGAGAGAGGATCTCCCAAAAAGAAAATCAGTCAACTCTTTGAAAGAACAAGCAAGAAATATAAATGTATGTTCTCTCCATAAAGTAATTAATTCATCAAAATAACTTATATACATTTCAGTAGAATGACGGGAAAAAATCTAAATGATTAAGACAAAGTATATCATCTACCATATCACAGCAAGAAAAAAGGAATATATCGTAGAATTACGTAAAACCAAGCATTTATTCATAGTTTAAATAAACATATATATGCTCATCAAAAAGTAAATGAACATCTATGTATAGAACAATTTAAAATTTGAACATTTTATTCTAATAGGTTTACATGAAATATGAAAATATACCTATGGTGGTCTTTGAAGAAGTAAGAAGAGCCTGACTAAAGTTTCTATGGCAAGATCTCAGGATTGACTCAATTGCAGCCTTCACTTTTGGAATGTAGTGGCCAATATCATGACCTGACAACACAACAGGAGTCCATATTAGTTGAGATGTTTAAATGACAAGATATATACAAATACATATATCAAGGTTATAAACTGAGCCATCAATCACCGTGAAGAATTTCCAAGCCAACATGCTGGCTTGTAGGAGACATTACAATGGCAAGTAAAGCACGGAGACCGATAACTTTAGCTTCACTTGGACTATCTTGCTTAAGAAGTTCCAATATCATATGGTTTACAGTAAAATCAAGGTTATGTTCTGCTATAGTTACACAGAATTCAACAAGTTTGTCATGTTGGACATCCTGAGTTAGCATTCCCTTCTTGAGAATAGTTAGGAGTTGTGAGGTCACACTGTCTAGGTAGTCCCACACACGATTTGGCGGCTGGGAATCCCCATGAACACTCAAGTAAAACCTCAAAACTCGATGGAGACAGTCCAAGGCCATGAAACGGTGGTTCTTGTCCTGCATGACAAACGCCGAATTATATCACATACAGAATATCTGAAGTGGAATGCCATGTTAGTATGCCTGTCACACTTAACAAAACCACATGATAAAACTAACTTAATGGACCGAGGAAAGAACAAGTGTCCTTGCTTTGTTTGTCAACTACACCGACAACAAATAATTGAACTCACCCTAAGATGTTTGTAGAGTTGCTCCATGTGAGGGCCAAAGTTACTGAGGAAAACATTAGGATCCCCAAGACACAGAAGAAGAGTGACCAACGGGTAACCAACCTAAGACAGAGAAATGATTGAGTGAGGAAAAACCACTTAAGATACAGACTCAATACACATATAAGAGAAGATAACAAAAGAAAATGTTAATCAAACAATAGTACCAAATAAAAAGTAATCTAAAGTTATAATTTCTAGCAAAACAAGTTTTAGAGGCTGCTTGGGAAGGGAAAACTGGTTTTATTGGATACAACTCAGGACCATACAGAATGGTCCCTTGGTTGGTAATGCAAACTTCACATTAACCTCCTCTCTCATTTGCCCAATTGTATGCAAAAAAAGGTGCAGATGGAAACAAAGATGAGGTTGATTTCATAAAAACCAAATATCCCCCTTATTCTATTACTGCTGAACATTTCTTGTCTTGTCCTTTTCAATGTGGATTGATTGAACCTACTTCTCTCACCCAATGCAACAAAAGTAACATTTTCCTAGAGCACCAATGTTGCGTATCTTCACCTACAAATCCAAACTTGTCTCCAATCTCCAAAGAGAGAAAAAGTTCATGGAAAACATCAGAGATGAAGGGAAGATATATAATGTGTGATTAAATATTGCTTGTGAGGAAGATAAGTTACTACAAGAGCGTTTTTCTAATTTTTTTTAATCCCAAAAGAAGGAAAAAAAAAAAAAATTTCTTCGTAAGAATAACAAATTGGTAGAAATTGGATCAAATTTCTTAGTGGTAAAAAAACCTTCTATAGTTTCTATGGGTTTCTTATTTTTCATTATCAAAATAATACTCATGGTGGTGGACAAACCCGGCAGTAGTGCAGTAGTCGGTGTTGGTTTCATTAAAGGGAGGTGGTGCTGATAACATCCATGTTTGTAGAGCTCTGATGGTGAAGATGCTGTTAAGTTATGGATTTCTAATTTCTCATATTTAAGAAAGGAAAAGAAAACGAACATGATCAGTACCGTTGTTCTTATTGATTGAGTATAAACGATGAACAATTGACTTCTTTAAAAGGAAGTTAAATAATACATTCACCAAACACTCGTTTTCTTTAATTCCTTATACCAAAGTTGTTCCTACAGAGGTCTTCTCAATGAAGGACTTCTGATATCAGGAAGCTCCCCAAAACACTACCTAAATCGATATGAAATTATATCTAAAATTTGAGTAAAAAGTTCTAAATTTAAAAATAAAAATAAATAAATAAATGTCGTGTGTGCTGATTGTGCATCTATTCAAGAGATCTAAAATTTTAGGAGTAGAAGAGCAATTGATTACAGGATCTGACAATGCTGACTTGTGGAGGGTCCAATGAAATTTCTGAACAAGCTATGTAGTGAATGAAGAAGAAAACACTATTAAATTAAATCGGAAAAAAAATAAAAATAAAAAATTCTTCTGAAACACCACAACAGATTAAATTCCTGAAATAAATTAGAAAGAAAACTACTTATCCAAACAAAAGAATTTAGAAATCATTTTTTTTCCTACTTTGATTTGGGGGGGAATTAGAATACAGTTCAAGAATCTGATGAGTTAAACTAACTTCAAAGTGGCCAAGCCTAATTTTAGATATAGGAAAAGAACAAAGTGGTAAGAGATATACTTACAGCTATATGTTTGCTCTGTTTGTCCATCCAATGCATGAGCTGCCCTCTTATTCGTGCAACAGCTTCATACCACAGGATAAGTGCTGGTTCTACTCCAGAAGGAGGCCACTGGCCCTTTCCACCATCTGCAAGCGGTGCTAGAATGTTTGAAAGCATATTGCATAGAGCATGGTGAAGTTCACTTTTTCGTTTATGGGGAGCACGATTAAGAGGATTCGCTTTTGCCACAAAGGAGGCCGATGCATTCAGTCCACCCTCAGTCTTAACCTGGCAATCAGCTTATTGTTATATACTTTTCTTCATGCGAATTTCACTAGAATTTAACTTTACACGTACCCCTAGCTTCAGGTAACGCATCCCATTAATGATACTAAGTGTTTCACTTCGTGCTACACTAGTATCAATCCGACGAGTATTGAGTTCCATAAAAAAGCGCTCAGTCACAGAACTAAACCTATCCAAAGAAAGTGAAAATATTAATAACAACAACAACAACAATACAAAAGGAAGCATTAATGGTTGCCCCAGCATCACATCTCAGTCATAATAATAATTCCTGATAAGAGAATGTGGGTTAAAGTCTGAAGGCAAACACTTTCTGCAAATAATACAAAATGTTAGGTATATACCCAAGCCTTCCCTTCAAGCACCATCAATTAACAGGAAACAACATTTCTTAATGATGCATCATTATAAGCTTTCAATTTAATTATCTGGTCTACATAATTCTATTGTATATAGAAATAGAACTCAAAGATGATAATATTTCCAAATCATGAAAGTACATCATAGAGTCAGCAAGGTGCCAAGAAAAAGAGAGAACAAAATCAGCAATCCAGGCAGCGCAAGAGAGCCTTCACTTATTTTCCTTAATTATTTCTTTATTCAACGAGTATCTTAACTAGGGTTCTTATTAGTTTAAATAAGCAAAATGATTCAAATTAATATGATGTTCGGATGCACTTTAACTTTAAATAGACAAGACGAACATTAGATTCAGCAAATTTTGAGTGATTAAAAACGTAGCAATAACCCTAATGGGTAAGTGACTGAGACGGTTTAAACAAGCTGAACTGGAAATTTGATAAAGATCTAAGATTACTCCCCGTGTGATGATTTTATAGTACAGTCAAACTTTTTTTTTCATGCCAGAAGGCTTCCTTTTAGAAAGGAATCATTGTATATCCTCAAACAAGTCAGCAATTGCAACAGACAACTAAACCAACTTTTATCCTACACAAAAATTGACAAAAAGAACATTTAGAAATAATAAGCTAAGAGTGGAAAATTGATACCATTTATATCTAGTCAATGAATTGAAACCAAATACATGTATTATAAAGACAATATTCTCATGTATGACAATGTAAACAATTATCGTTCAAGAAAGTGGAGCCTAAAGTAAAGAGCAGAGAGCCAATTGCTTGCTTCTCTCGTAGTGCTCTGGACATTTTTTGCTTCTTGTTACAGAAATAGATCCTTAACTTCTATTTTTTGTCTATTGTGACGAGGCAACACAATAATGGTAGTAATAGTGTTATTTACAGGGAATTTATATATATATATATATATACTGTACAAGAAAAACCACATGCAATGTAGTTGAACAGCTTTAAGGTGTATCCCAATTTCCATCAGATTCAAGTACCACTAGTTGATTATTTAATTACCTAATCCTAGATAAAGCTCCAAGGAGTTGTGCAACAAGGTCCAGAAGGAGGCTCCGCAAATCAACCAATGAGGGATAGTCAAGTTGGCTAACAACCCTGCAATAGGTGCATATTGAGTTAATAACAATTAAAAAGATGAGTGGATGAGAGAGATATCTACAGAACAGAGACTCCACATCTCTCCAACTCCAAATTAACATAAATGTGTACTTATCAAATATATATGCATATATATATAAAGCACAATGCTTGACAAGATGTAAACACGAGATACAGCTTAATCACCGGGTGATTAATACCATTTAATCCTAGAATTTATCCTTGTAGCAGATGCTAAAAGGGACAAGAGAGAGGCCAAAAAGAACAAAGTTGAAGCTTAGGGGAAAGGACATCATTTCTTTGGAGCTAACCCAGAATATGGCTATACAAAAAACTCAACTAGAGACGATAAATCCTTGTAGCAGTACCCAAGTAATTGAAATTAAGGCTAATTGAGCCGAGTTGAGTTCATCATAAAACGTTGATTCTAGACTGCAGATTGCAGTACCTACGTAATCGAAATTCGTTTGATCTAATGATGGAAAACAAAAATGTCCATGTAGACAGATCTAAGCTCCATAAGGGAAAGAGTTATAGCTTGAGATTCATGATATATTGCATTCAAAATCAACTCTTTTTTGCACAAATAGAACTAGTGAGTCATTGATAATTTAAGTTATCCATGTAATTTCTGTTAGATTCTAAATCCATCTTAAACACCGTTACCTGTCAGCATTGATTAGCCAATCAAAGACAAAATTCTCAAGCCCAATCCAAAGCTTCTCTGCAGTGAGAAAGAGCATATTCATCCGACTAGAAAATATCCCAATACAAATAGAATAATGAAATGACCATACCTGTAAGTCCCTCTTGTGGGCAGCACTCCACAAAGCGAATACATGCTGAGCAAAAAATGCACTCCACAGCAAGCTGAGCCCCATGTAAGAACATTATTGAACTTTGAATACTTAATGTACATTTCCCAGACAAAAAACTTTATAGCAATATGGCATGAATGAAAGACAGGTGCTAGAATCAAAACATATTTCCTGGGTCTCTTTTCCTAATACAACCCTAACAAAGAGTGACCCGGCAATTTTTAGTACAACAAAGGGATGACTACAGTCCACTGTAATTAGGGACCCTAATTACTCTGATACGGACTTCAAAATCCCAATTTTCACCTAACCAGAATTAGGAAGCATCGTTACTTATACATGGGAAAGCACTGTTCATATCATTTCTCTTTATTTTCAGCTTCAAACTTAAAAGACCCTTTTGCCTGTCATTTAATTTGTCAGCTGAACCGCATTGCTTCTCTTTTTTTTTTCTTTTTGGTAGGTAACTACACACCCCACTATTGTCCCCATTACTTCCCATCTAACACTCTCATTATCTGTTCCCTCTAAAACTAAAACGAAAACGAAAGTTTATCACCGATGAAATTGTTTCTTGTATGCAACTGCACAATTGCAATGTTATATGAAATGGGGACTAAGAAAACTAAAGTTTTCAAGTCACTAGAAATGTGTATCCAGGACACCCTCTTGGTCTCCTAAAGAAGGACTCTCATGTGGTAAAAGTGATACACTTAAAACATGTGTTGGAAAATACATGTTCTTCATGCATTTGAATTGTTGGATAATAGAAATATGAAACTTAGGGCTTCATAAACTCGTTTAGGAGAAACTGGGGTGAGTTATACTAAAAGTGTTACCCATGCACACTAAAAGTAGTACTGGCACACTGAAAGTAGCACCTTGGTTAAATAAAAGTGATACCTGAACAAAATCTAAATTTCATCAACAATGACTTTGGTTTTGGAAATCAACTACACAATTGCAATGCCATATGAAGAGGTGGAATGAAAAAGTTCAAGTTTTTTGGAGTCATTAGAAGTGGGTGCCCACAACTTAATGTGTGCTGAAATACACACATTCATTGTGCACTTGAAGTGTCATACTACATAAATATGAAATTTTGAGCTCCATAAACTCATTCATGAGCAACTGCGGTACAACGTACTAAAAGTGGTAATGCTAAAAGTAGTACCTTGAATCTAAATTTAGCACGTTGGTTTAAGCTAACAGAAACGAACCCAAATTCAATCAACAATGACTCCTTTCTTGAATTCAACTACACAATTGCGTAGTCAACTAATTTTCAGATGTAAGGATACTTTAGTATAAACTTAAAATACTAACTAAAACTGGGTTTATTCTGAAGAAGTGTTTATTCTATGATATAATTTGTAATGACCAACTCCAGTTACAACTTTTTCTGTTTATAAATAAAATAAAATATTTTGCTTCATTTTCTAGTGGGCTTTTGAGTGGGGCAGTGTTTTAAGTTGACGATGTGGTCGCAATTGTTGGGCATAAAGGGCATTATATATAATGGTACAGGTCATTGTAGTCATGAATTCTTTCAACACTAAATAACTTGATTAAAACAAAACAGTATGCAACGTTTTACTCTAGAATCCAACGTTTTACTCTAGAATCCAATAAAATCATGTTCCTCATGATTTTTAATGAATTTATTGAATATTCAAATTTTAAAGGCTATTTTATATGAGTGATGACTGATAACAGCCTAAAATTGCATTATTTTTTTTTTATAAGTAAAAATATATTAGAAAAACGTTCAAAAGGGGAACACGTCCCTAATACAACAGCCTAAAATTGCATTATTATTATAGTATTAGTAGGTATTATTGCGCATCTATTTTAACATTAATTCTCATATTTTACACAAAAATATAATAAATCCATATTTTCCATTGTTAAACATTTTCTTGGTTAAAATAGCACATTAATGCATAAAAATATATAATTCTATTTTTCATCATTTTTTTTTCCTGAATGGGTTTTGTTTTATTTATACAAAATAGAACAATAAAGTACATAAAGGAAGAGTGGCCAGTAATAATATTTATTATAACATATTTTATTTTGTAGGAATGGCCAATAAACTTGGTTGGCCAACTTGGTCAGGTCACACCGGACTCATCAAATATTTAACACAACATAATAAGGAGACTAGAGACTCGCTAGTTACTCGGGGCAATTTGGTGGAAACTGAAAACTCAGAGAATCGATGATGACTAGGGGTGACTCAGACAACCCGGGCCTGAATCAGCCGAGTCAACTTTGACCATGAAAGCTCAGCGACTCTTTTTTTTTTTTCTAATAACCATTTTCTAACCATTCTGTTTCACTCTACCAGCATTCTTTTTTTTATATATATATTAGTAAAGATTGTATAAAAAGCGTTCAAAAGGGGACCGCATCCCTCAAAGCTACACAAGGCCAAATTGCTCTTCTATACCCTCAAAGGCTCCAAAAGATCTACAAGTTCCTCCAAGGATTTACAATTTCTATATTTTAGGTAACTGCTTTTCCTTAGGCAATTCTATCCATTTTTATTTTTTATAGAGACTATTTCACCTCTTCTTTATATAAAGTTACTATTATCAAATGTGGTAACATTTTATTACAGGACATTATTGTAAAATTAACAATAGAAATATTTTAAAAAATATTTTTACCAAACAGATTTTTTTTATAAAAAAATAGTTGTTAAAAGTACTTTATAAAATGTATCTCCAAACACCTAACATGTGCACATAGCTCTACTGACAAAAGCGCTTTTTTCATTCCAACATCAAAGCCAAATGGGCTATAAACATGATATTGTTCTTCTATACCAGATCATCAAGAAGCTTCCTTCTTTTTCTGTCTCTCTAGGTTTCATGATTCCACATTCCCGTGGAAGACGGTGTGGTCGTCAAAGGCGCCTCTTAGGGTGGCATTTTTTGCGTGGACCGCAGCTTGGGGTAAGATCCTGACTTTGGACAATTTGAGGAAGATAAGGCATATCATCGTTAATCGGTGCTGTCTTTGCATGATTGATGGAGAGTCCGTGAATCACCTTTTGCTACATTGTCCTGTGGCCCACAACTGTTGGAGTCTCATTTTCGATCTGTTTGGTGTCCATTGGGTCATGCCCCGGACTACTAAGGATTTGATGGACATTTGGAGGGGCCAATGGATGGGGGTGCATAGAGACTTTTGGAGGGCGACTCCCCTTCGTGTTTGGTGGAGTCTTTGGAGAGAACGAAATAAAAGATCTTTTGATGGGGAGGTGTCCTCCATTGGGGCGCTGAAATTCTCTATTATATGTACCCTTTTTTGTTGCGGCTAGGGGAGAAATTATTCTTCATTTGTGGAAATTGTGGATTTTTTGGGCTCTTTGAGTTCATAGGTCTTTTCTACTTTCTTTTTCTGGTTTGTTTACAGCTCTTGGGATGCGTTCCCCTTTTGAACGCCTTCTAATGCATTTTACTTATCAAAAAAAAAAAAAAAGATCGATTTTTTTTTTTTATTATTTCAAGGTTCAGATCTATTAATTTATTAATGTACTTTTCATATCATAAATTCTCATTTCTTCATGTTAATGTCTATTTTTAGTCATTAATTTAGTAAATAGTCTAAATTATTAAGCTTTTACTAGCAACAACTTGAAATTCAAGTAAAATTCATCACTTGCTAAGAAGCACGGACACGGATACGGGACACGGATACGACACGACACGGACACAGCGACACGGCAAATCCAAAAAAATTAGGACACGAACACGGCAAATAGTATATATATATATATATATCAGCATTAATAATTTAAAAAAAAAACACTGATATGTTTAGGTTGGAATATATATATATATCACTGATATGTTAGTATATATATATATCAGCATCTTTAGGACACGGACACGGCGAATTGTGGCATCTTTAGGTTAGTATATATATATATCACCATCTTTAGGGTAGTACAAAACAAAAAATAGAACATATCAGCATTAAAAATTAAAATTAAAAAAAAAAAAAAAAAAAATTAACATATCAGCATTAAAAATTTTAAAAAAAAAATCCAGAAAAGTGTGTCCGAGCCGTGTCCGAGCTGTCCGACCCGTGTCCGAGCTGTCTGAGCCGTGTCTGTGCCGTGTCCAAGCCGTGTCCAAGCCGTGTCCGAAAATAAAAAAAAATAAAAAAATTCCAGACACGTTTTTTGGCGTGTCCGACACGTGTCGGGGCGTGTCCGACGCGTGTCCGTGTCCGACACGTGTCGGACACGGATTCTTCATCCATTTTGGAGTGTCCGTGCTTCTTAGATCACTTGTATTAAATTATCTTTAAAAACTACTAAAAATACTAAAAATTATTATTCTGCAGTAAAATTTTCCGTACCAGTGCATTTTAGGCCTAAATTGAATTTGGAGGCGACGTAAGAAGTATTACTCATTTGGGGGATCGAGTAGTTCGTTGGGGTTGGAGAAGGGTGGGGTGGTCACTGTGTCCAATTCCTTGGCTCCAGTTGGTAAAAGTGACTCGGTGTTTGAGTCAGATGTTGGTCATGACAGCGGATCTGCGAATGGGCTTGGCCTCGCTCGTTTTTCAAAGTTTTTTGGTGAGGGTGTTACGATCTGCGTGGGACGGAATGTTAGGGTGAAGATTAATGATGCTTCTGCCACTGTTTTGTTGAAGGAGATTCGGGATCTTTTGGCATCCAAATCTGTCCAGTTTGAGGAGGAACTTGATTCACTGATGACTGATTGCTCCCTTTCCTCTTCTATCCTTGATGATTGGGAGGGTGATGCTGGCTCTACACATGATGGGGATTTGGGTTTAGTTCAATGGAATAACATTAAGCAAGCAGTGAACTTGACTGTCCCTTTGGCTGTTGTTCGTCCGGAGGAGGATTGGATGAGAGGTTCTTCTGTTTACGAAGAGGTGAATGATGTGGAGAAGGAGTGGGTGAGGGAGAATGGGATGGAAATGGGCTCTCTGCTGGGAGTTTCTTTCGAGGGCAGGGAGGATGAGGCGATGCAGTTGTTCCAGGGAGTTCTCAATTCTCAACTCAGGGAA